CCTAAGGGTAAAGGAGAAAGTTTCTCTTTATCAATGCATTAACCGAGTTGATTATGAATGTCTCCTTATGTTGGACGTCTTACTAACAAGAACATTACCACTACTTGCCCTCAGAGGCGTTTTTCAGTTGACGAGCAGAGAAAATTAGGTTTTGACTGTTTGAAATTCTGGATGCCAGAGTGAAGACGCCTTTTGTATGATGACGTCATCTTCCTACAGTAAAAAGCGTTCGTTTTTTACCACTGATATTACGTCAATCGGTACACTTATGTTGTCGAAAGGTCCGTGAGCATGGTAAATAATTTTACCTTAAACTGCAGACACATCTTCAATCACTCCTTATTGTTCGCGATATCGGATAAACACTCTGGTCTCTAACTGAATTTTCTTTGCTGTTTACTTTATTTTGAATTAGGACTGTCTTGAGTTGTCCATGCATTGTCTAGCGATTTTAAGCTTTTTCAAGGAAACAAAAATCTGGAATTGTCCCTAGGGTGAGGCATTTGCGCACAGTTTTAAAGCCCTTCGGTGGGGTGACTGTGGTTTTTGTTGTCCCGGGCTCATCCCTCATTCTTCTTAACTCCTTCCAAACCAATTTTTCTGTTTATCAAGAATCTCCTCAAAACGGGCTTCGTGATTGAGACAAAATACCTGAAAATTGTACACGGAACCGTTGTTAACGGTGTACAAGGTAGAATGAGTCTATTCATTACTTTGCCAACGCCCAATTTTTAAAACCGGAAGTAATGATGTTTATTTCAAGGGCTCATGTCTCATGAGTTTTGAGTGAATCTTCAAACGCTGTAAATACATGTAGCTGGAACTATCATCGCATCGATCCTCGCTCACTAATAATGATAACTTATATCAACTTCCATTATTTATTGCCTGGCTAAGATTTTCACGGATTCTTCAGTTCAGTTGTTTGAAACCAGGCGGCTTCACGTGAGTTGTAACGCCAGGCAAGGAACGTGACGACCCGCGATATGCGTGGGAAAATATTACTTTTTTTCGATCAAGGTGGAAACTGGAAACTTTGTCGTCGAGTAAGGTAATACATCTCAATTTTCATTACTATGGTTAATTTTAAAAGCTCTGGTTTCGGTAAAGGAACTGGAGGAAAATCAGGAAAATTCCTGTTCGACTGTGATGGTTGGATTTTGTTTACGCGTCATAGCGTAAATATAACAAATTCATTTTCCTTTTCCTTATACAATCTGCCTTTTTTTATACTGTTTTTCGCAGCAGAGTTATCGATTATATTACAGAGGCTAATTTTATTACACAGATCACTCAGATTTAATGACAGAAACTCTATTATCGATTGTAATTTTGGCAACACCTGGCGAGTATTCGGTGTACAGATTATTGACAAAGTCGCTAGAATAGTCTTCCATTCATTGCTTTTGTTTCTGCTCCGTTAAATTTGCCCACTTTTTTTATTAATGAACTCGATTTAAATACAAACAGTGAGTTTTCAGGCAGATTGGCAAGCTTCAATGCGATGTGGCAAAAGAGATATACGCCTTTAAAATTCTGTTAATTTTGCGGGTGTAAAAAATTCAAAAAGTATACCCACCAAAAGTTTAATCGATCGTTGCGAAAACGCTATCAATTTCGAAGTAGTTTCTAAAAATACAATAAAGAGGGATTGTTCTTTCAATCTGTATTGGCAAAGGAAGATTAGCTTTGAAGACAGGGTTGTAGTCGAAGGCTCAAAAGCAGCTTCTATTAACCAATATGGCGCCGGTCCGAGGCACCCAAAAACTGGCCATGTCGATAATTTCCGAAGTAGGAGGAATTAGAACCTAAAGTTACCTATTCCTTATTAAAGACCTCAAATCAAGTCTACATGCCAATTTTTAGCCAATTCGGTGAGATAGTGTGGCAGCGCCTTTTTAATATAGCTCGAATCTTACAGACAACTGCTCTTAAGGAAATACAGGGGCACCCAACGTAAATTTTCGGAAAATATCTGTTCGGAAGACGATTTGAGATCTAGAATTTTCGGAGCATTTGTTGTAAAATTTCTTGCTTGCCTGCCTCTCCTAGGATTTTCGAACATCTAAAAAATGGTATAATTGCACATTTTAAACGGATTTTTACCCTAAAAAGATCACCTAGAATTTTCGGGAGCCCTTTTTCTGGCTGAAATTTTCGAAAATGAAAGTTTTGATCCCTATAATTTTCGGATCATTAGACTTTCAGCTAGGAAATCCGAACAGATGGAAAATTTTTAGGGGATAAAAATATGCCTATATCTACCTCTTAAATACTAAAATACGTTTAACAATGCTATGTCTAAGTGGTTTTGAACTACATTCTCGTTGGGTGCCCCTGGAAATATTTCATGACACTTTTGAAAATTTCGAAATTACAAGGATTTGTATGGAAAACCATACAAGCGTGACTGGATGGCAAAAGTTGTTTATCTCATACAAATGCTTCCAACTTTCAGCGGCCGTTGCAATCGCTACTTTTGAGATATACGGCTGAAACTTCTCAGGTTACCCAATTTTAATATGCTCTTTCAGGCTAACAAAATTTTTCAAAAGTGAACCGTGTTCGTGTTTGCCGAAAGTTGATCACGTGATCAAGTCATGCAAGAAGCCTATTGTACGGCATTCCTTTGTATAAAACAATGGCGGCAACCAAATGACGTCATAAAATGCCATATGGCGAATCGCGAATAATCAAGCGCCTGCCATTCAAGTCCGGGCCCCTTTTTTGGACCTAAAAGAACTTAGCACTTGTTGGAAGAAGGTTAATTCCTACGAGAATTTTGAGTCAAGTTGATACAACAATAGAGGCCTTATTTAAAGTGGTCATTCGGAGACATCATGTTGTTTCTTTCACTAAGATGAGTTGTCAATAACGTTAAGAGTTGCCCCTGAGGTTTTAAGTGTCTATAGGACTAACCAAGCTGAGCCTATTCTTGCCGAGCGAATAAACAATACTAAAAAGGGGATAAGGGCGGCGGGGCTGGGATTGAGATAATTTTTGTTAGTAACAACCAAGTAGTGGTCTTTTATCAATGCAGCGTTCTGATTGGTTGAGCTAATACTAGGCTATATGTTACAGCCCACTAGTAGCGAAAAGCGCCAGCTTTGAAAACCAAAACAATGGCGGCAGAATCGCGTTTTGCTAGCTAAAGTTGTTTTGTCTCTATATTTTTGACCAACTAGTTGGATTTTACTAAAAACAATAATTCCTCTCTCCCTCATGGCTCTGAGTCGGCCTCATGGGCTATTGACTCAGAGCCCATTCGGGCTCGAGGAATAATTGTTAATTAGTCGTAAATGTCGAATCCCAGATGGAATACAAGTAACAGCCTTCATAAACGTTTGAAAAACGGCGAAATTTACAAGTGAGCATTTTAATGTCATTAGCTTCTCTTCGCAGCCATAAATTGTTACTTCTTAAAGTGATTTTACTTGACCCGTGAAACAGTGAATAACAACTAGTTCAAAAAAGCTACAAGTAAAGAAAAGAAGACAATGGAATTGGTGCATAATAGCGCGTAGTATTCTACTTCCTATTCCACGGGTTCGTTAACGATCCTGCAAGCAAAGAGATTAATTCGAAACTTCAAGCAAAGCAAATTGAAGCGGTAAGTTGAAGCCTGCGTCGGAAACGCACACAAATCCCGGTTAGTTTCTGCAGCGCTGGCTAGGCAAGATGGTAGTCTAGAGGTTTCTGTGAAACAATTTACTGTCGAACCCCGCCCACAACGGCCACCCTAGGAACAGAGGAAAGTGGCCGTAAGTGACCAACATCAATTTTCTCCTCACAAAATCGATACTTTATCAAGACAACAGGATATAAAGATCAATAAATAAAATTATCACCAAAGGGACAATGATTTGATCTTTTATCAATTGCTCTCAACTAATTCTTTAAGGAAATGTATTGAGCTCAGTCTGGAGAATTTAATACGAATGTTGGGGCTTAAAGGGTTAAGACAAGATTGTATGCAACTGTTTGACGCTTTAGCTGTCTCGAAAATGTCTTTCTTTCATAAGAACTTAGTGATGGAGAAGGAAAATGTCCTCTGTGGAGAGCTGGCCATAAGTGGAGGTTCGATTCAACAGACGAATGACCACCTGGATCTAGTTAATTCGTGAGAAATCACAGAATAATGTCTGCGGTACTTTGATAAAAAAAAAAAAAATTCGCTGAAATAACAACTGAAATAATAATAATAATAATAATAACAAAGCTAAATATAAAATCCTATTCACAATTAATTTCACTTAAAAAACTATTCAGTCAAAGCACTATTTACATTATTCCTTTCGATTAAAAAAAAAGACACTTAATTTCGATTGAAAAAATTTATTCCATTAAAAATAAATCATATATTCGGCAAAAAAAATTCAATTAAAAAACGGCTCTTTTCAACTAAACTAAATTAACGAGCTCACGCCTTTATCACACACGCTTGGATAGAGTTTAAGAGGCAGTCATCAATGAAATTCCCTTGTGGAATTTTGTGGAAGGGTGTCCTAGAACCTCTTACGCATGTGTGTACCGACCTTAAAATCTCAAAAGACAGCAATGTTATAATCCAAGTAATAGTACTGTGATGTAATTAATAACAATAATAATAATAATAATAATAATAATAATAATAATAATATCATAGGTGACGAATTATTCCTTAATTTTGGCGCGACATTTCAGCGTTAATTTGTAATTTCATGTGAAATTACAAAATTGCCATGGCAACCCTTCCGTACGTCTCAGTGTCAAGATGGCGACGAAGTTTTAAAATGACGTGAATGAAGATGTCAGGGCACAAAAAGACGCTTTAGAAAACCTGAACACACAAGAGAACATCAGGAAGGATTCTAACAGGTATTTTGCCGAAAAAGTCTGAAAAATTCTGAACTTTATAAGCCAAATTTAAGGTCTAAACATTTGAGAGAGTGGAGTTCTCGATAGATACGATCCAGGATAAACACGTCAAAAATCCAAGATTGCTAACGTAATTCGTCACCCATGATATTAACAGGTAATCAAATGGTATACTCGTGAAATTAGGGAATAATTTCACTTGCGTTTTGTCCAAATCCTAATAATTTCCCGAGTCTTCAGGCGAGGGAAATTATTAGGATTTGGACAAAACGCAAGTGAAATTATTCCCTGATTTCACTCGTCACCATTTGATTACACGTACTAATAATAATTAATAATACTGTCTGACAATGACAATGACATTGACAATGACAATAACAATGATAATAATAAATCCTTTCCTTGTATAGCGTATTTTCCAATAAATCCAATGGCGCCTTATTCAGTAAAATTTACAAACAGAATGGCTTATCAATGCTCCTCATGAAAGGAAAGCCCATTGCACATTAGTTACTTCAAACTCATATACTAATGACAACTTGAACAAAAAAATACATTCTGTGTCATTAATCTTCTAATTTACTAACTATTAATTGTTTGCCCCTTCTTCAACAGTGTAAATTATCCCAAAAAGATAGGTCTTGAATTTGCTTTACCTAGCGACTGAGAAAGAATTAATTATTAATTTTAGTTTTCCGCCGTTATGTCGTTGAAAAGGTATTTATACAAATTTACGCTTATTGCGAGAATCTTTCGCCAATGACTTCGTCTTTGACATAAGTTCTGACCTCTAGCCTAAACATTCTGAAAGTTGTCTCTGCTTATTCTCACTCAACTTTCACAATCAAAGCAATTGGGCTGTTTCCCACACTTAGGCATTTATGGCCTTGAGGAAGGCGAGCTTTGACATAGGCTGTTAGAAGTGACTATTCTCTCTGGTCAGTTGGATGCGCCTTGACCCCCACTTCAATACCGGACTCCTCAAAAGGTCCTTTACCAGCCGCCATGGTTTCTTGAGTGGGAACAGCCTCTTCATTTAAACTGTCCGACTCTTTTTCAGAGCTCGCTGTTTCTTGCTTAGGTTGAATCGACTTGAAATTCTCTGCTGGAGGCACGTCGTGTATCTCGTCCCTTGGGTGCGCCTTGACCCCTACTTCAAGCCCGCACTCCTCAAAAGGTCCCTTGCCAGCGGCCATGGTTTCTTGGGTGGGGACAGCCTCTTCTTTCAAACTGTCGGAGTTAGCTTCAGAGCTGACAGTTTCTTGCTTAGGTCGTTTCACATCAGGATTGTCAACTGAAGACACGTCTTGGCCCGTTTGACTTTCTTCTGTGGTTTCTACTTTCGCCTCTTGCCTTTGGCTTGGTTCTCCTGTCTCCTGCAACGACTTGCTCTTATCTTGATCAGATTCCTCAGTATGTCCTGTACTTGGACTCACGGTCTCCTGAGTAGGACGGACCTCCTCTTCTACGGTACTATTAGTCTTGACCGCGAAATTAGCGCTTTCCTGTAAAGGTTTACTCTCAGAAAGACCTTCCGTTTCATTGCCTGGACTCTGCTGTAGTGTTTTTCGTTTTTCAGTATCTTCAAAACTCTTCGAAGACTTATCTCCGCTCTTGTCATCTTTGGTAGGTTCTTTCGTCTCTTGTACAGGCTTCTCTTTGTCAAACTCTTCAAAAGGCTGCAAGGGCTGCTCCTCTCTTACGTCATCTTTGCCAGGCTGATTTGTCTCTTGCAATAACTTCTCTTCATTAAACCCTTCAATACCTGAAGGAAAATCCTCAGTGCTGACTTCAGGTTGCTCTCTCGTCGCCTCCTCTTTGCTTTGTTCCTCTTCCCGTTTATTCACTGGCTTGACTTCAGAGACCTGTTCACCTGTAAACTGTACCAGGCCTGAGAGCGTGTTGTCTACGCTGCCCTTTAGGTTTACTGACTCTTGAACCGGACTATCTTTCAATGTCTCGCCCTCACCCAAATCACGAGATTTCTCTCCGTCTGAAGTTACCTGGGTGGGTGACCTTGCGTCCTGAGGGGCTAGCCTGGGTTTCCTTAGGTTAAAGGTAGGTGCGACATCTTGAAGTGGTGACTTTGGATCCTGAACAGGTATTTTCGCAGACATTTGAGATGGTGTGTGTGTACCCATGTGTGGGGAGGACGTCGTAACTGATAGAGAATGCCCTGTAGAAGTATAGATAAAAATATGTAGAAGAATTTAATCAACGGAAATTTCGTATATAAAAATAGCCATATTTATTATCAAACAAACCTGATGAAACGTAAAGATTTTCTTTTAAGTCCCAGGGGATCTTTGCAAGCTCTATCGAGCTTGTCAAGGGAGATCCCCTTTTTGTCAATTAATATACTAATTTTCTAATAATTAGAAGTATAGACATTTAAAATGCCATCAAGTTATAACGGTTGAAACAGCAATTTTGTTACAGATATTGATTTGGTATTTGCATACCGTAGTATACTCTTTAAAAAGGCTATAGCTTTTTGGATTTTTTAAAGGGGTTATGTCATGACGAAAATACTTCTCTGGAGTTATGACGAAGTTATCAAACAAATTTTTGGGGAGCACAAAACATAATACTTTTGGTGACTGGCACGCATGGCATTAGTATATGTTATCAAATGGTGACGAGTGAAATTAGGGAATAATTTCACGCGCGTTTTGTCCAAATCCTTATAATTTCCCGAGTCTTTACGCGAGGGAAATTATTAGGATTTGGACAAAACGCAAGTGAAATTATTCCCTAATTTCACGAGTATACCATTTGATTACCCATTAATATCATGGGTGACGAATTACGTTAGCAATCTTGGATTTTCGACATGTTTATCCTGGATCGTATCGGATTGAGAACTCCTGCACTCTCTCGAGCGTTTAGAGCTTAAATTTGGCTTAAGTTCAGAGTTTTTCGACAAAATACGTTAGAATCCTTCTTGATGTGCTCTTTCGTGCTCTTGCGTGTGTTTTTGTGCCCTGACATCTTCATTCAAGACATTTTAAAACTTCGTCGCCATCTTGACACTGAGACGTACGGAAGGTTGCCATGGCAATTTTGTAATTTCACAAATTAACGCTGAAATTTCGCGCCAAAATTAAGGAGTAATTCGTCACCTATGATATTAAAACGTGAATTGCCCATTTTTTCAGGTTTCAATACTTGTCCACCCTTGCCATCCCTAGCAGAAGACGACAACAAACAGTTTCAATAGCTAAATATGGTCCTTACTATTATTATTTGGAATTCAATTTATGCAAAGACACGTTTCAGCGTTTTGAAAAGAAAGTAAATAGCGTGACATAGCCATTTAAGCTAAGTGGTAGGACCCTCTATCAAGGAAATTTACCATTTTATGTTCTTTGATAATCAGAGTATATGTTGAAAGCTGATCATTTGTTAGTGATGCAAACGTTCACTCAGTAAATGGGTTGGAATTAAGGGAAGATGTAAAGGATTTCCTCAAGGACCAAACAAAACTGTCCGTAATAACGACGTGTCCGTAAAGCAGGGTTCCACTGCATTACTTGTATTTTTAGTGTTGTTGTTTTTCTTCACTACTTGCGTTTCGCCTCTGGGGCTGGAAATCCTGGCGCTGAAGCGCCATCAGTGGATTGAGGTTTTTTTTCACCCCGAGAGGTTTTTCTCTTGGTACTCCAGTTTTCCCTCAAAACGCTAATGCGATCGGAAAGATCATTTTATTAAGTTGCAATAAGTCAGAGCTTCCATTCTTCCCTATTTTCGGTGGCGTTCCAACGTTCGCGAGAGATATTTCCAAAAACGATTGTACGTGTTACGCTGAGGTCATAGACGAAAAGTCATCTAGTGGAGGTGCCACCATCAAAAATATGTCATTATTTGTAAATATACTCTACTTATTCAAGTAAATTCTTTCGATTCTAACCTGAATCGGTGGTGTTTATAGTATTCACTGAGCTGTTTCCTGCTACGATAACATTTGCTTGCGGAGAGTCAGTAATCGTGATGTTAATTGGACTACCTAAAGGAGGAGTAAGGACGAATAACAGCTTCATATCACGTACTTCAAACTATTCAATCTGTGCCTCAGCGCAGGACCAGTGAAGGTCAAGACTGTTTTAGAAAACAGACAGTGAAGTCTGCCACGCTGGTAGACAATAGCTTGTGTACAGACGCCCCCCTCAAAAGTGTTGCTATCCTAAACAATTTTTTCATACAAATTCTGCGAATATTTTTTTATTGTTTTGTCCAAAAACATGGCCCTTGTCACGTGTTTGAAAACGAGGAATACAACACTCCGAGCACAGAATTGATACAAAATAAACAAAAATAAATAAATAAATAAATAAATATTTAAATATTTAAATATTTAAATAAATAAATGAATAAATAAACGAACGAATGAATGAATGAATGAATGAATGAATGAACGAAAGAACGAAAGAATAAGTAAAACAGGAAATTAGCCTGCAAAGGAGGCGTATTTTGAAGTGCGAACGATTTGGACGTTGAAAATGATCGAAAGTTGGGGCGAGTCAAAAAATGATTCTAAGGAAACGCCTGGAAAATATTATAGGAAAATTCATTACCTGATGAGGGAATTCCACGTTAAATTGCACGCGAAAACCGATATCGCACGAATCGCGAAGCGATGAGTGCGATATCGGTTTTCAAGTGCAATTTACTCGAGCCAGATAATGAATTTTCCTTGAATCGCATAATTGAATAAAAATCAGAAGAAAAAAAAAGAAAACAGCAATAATATTGTTTGTTTTTATCCTGAGCGCGCGCTCCAGAAAGCCATTTCAAAGTCAACTGTCAGAACTGTCATTGCTTTAGCGAATAGGAAGCAAGGTCAGTCGTACACGTTTGAACCTTCGACAACTTTTTTTGTACCTTGTGCTTGTTTTCACATTTGTTTTCAAACTTTTTTACATGTAAACAAGCTTGACACTAATCGTAAGGATAAATAGAGGTATTTTACTGAATTTAGAAGCCGTTTATGTAGAACGTCTTTTTTCAAATTGGTCATTTGCTCGAGAAGGAAAATAATTTACACCTTTTACCTCTTCGGCGGCAAAACTGAAAGAAATCAAGTGTCCAAGCGAAAGCACTGAAAGTTTAACATGTTTAACGTCGCGATTGATATAAGGTAAGTACCTTGAAATGTTTTAGAAATGCTGTTCAAGTTCAGCTCTGTTTTGTACTTTTCTAAGTACCACGATTCAGGACGATTGCAAGCGGCGTACTCTTTTTCGTGTTTTCAGGGGCCATGTCCTCTTTGAAGGTATTTATTTCTTCTTCTGTATATGGGACAATCGACCCCGGCACTTCCTCCGTTGTCGCTTCTCCGTTTTGTTTGGTTGAACTTTGGATTGCCATTTTCTGGGCCGCGTTAACAGGATTTTCTTGTTTTCTGGTTGTCGCGAGTGAAAGAGGTTTTATGTCTCTTCGAGAATCTGTAGTTCAGTTCAAAACAAGGAAGAACCTCCGGCTCACTTTAAAAAACGCTTTTGTTTGTTTTTAACTCTTCAAAAAGTGACAATGAATGGTTTTGAAAACATTTTAAAATGACATTGTAGAAAACCTTTTTTGCATGTTGTTGTGTTAGAATTTGACGATAGTTGTTACGTAGATGCGAAACAATATCGCTTAGCCTCGTTTTCAACTCGCAATTCCACACTAAATACCTCGCTTCGTTAACCAATCAGAATGCGAGATTTTACTTAATTATGCGATTCTAGGAAATATTAAGAGAGTTCCATTTCATTTTCTTACTTGCAGAAGTGGTGGCAACAGGACTCTCAGTGTGCCTTTCTGTTTTCTGGTAAGAACAAAAAAAGGGCAGACAACTGAAATACGTGAAGTGCGTAAATTTGGTCTCATAGATTAAATTAACTTCTAGACTACGAAACAGCATGTATTTTTGCGTAAGTCAAGAACGAGAGCAAACAAACAAAGGGTTTGGAACAAGGGTGAAACGGAGAGAAACCTCGCAAAACCGATTTTGTTTTGCAGTCTAAATAACTACCAAATGCGTTTGAGCAAGGACCGAGGTCCTTTTTTAAGAAAAGAGCCATTTAAACGGAGTATCGTGGCTATACAGTGCTCTTCTAAGTGAGTGCTTTTAACTTTTGCCAGCATAAAACAAAAGTCAGGTCTAATAGCTGATGGATTTTCTCAAACTCACTGATTAGTTTAACAGTCACTGGAAACATTGTTGCATTATAAATTAAACACTAATAAATTCATCAAAAACACTGCCCTCCGGAGGCATTTTTAAGTCTCCGCTCTCGGTTTGATATTATGCGCCGAATAAAATGTTGCGTTTGTGTTTGATATGAGATAATCCTACGGCATTACCATTCAAATATCTTTGCCAGTAATTTCACACGGTGCTACGACTTGTTTTTCAGCATTTTACAAATGCAATTTGCCAAATTTTTGTTGTTTTTTTGTCGTTTCTATTTACCACTTATTAACCGAGAGTGAGGTCATTACAGGGAAATCTCAGACCGAGGCCTTGACTTGGGTTTTTAATGCATCAATGAATTCAGTATAAGTTACTAACCGAATCTCCATGACAACGAAATGGAAAATGCGTGCCAAGAAGCCCTTTCTCTGCCATTGATTTGCTGATAATCTAGTGAGAAAATATATCTTTTTCTAATCAGTGATATAATAATGACCTATAATCACTTATTAAATTAGCCTGCAGCTCTAAACTAATAATTATGTGATGACAATCCTCTTTTATATAGCCGAAGCTTCCAGAATCACCAAAGACTTTTTTAGCCCAATACAAGACTAATTTAAAGGACGTAAAATTAACGACATTTATACCTCCCAGCCTCTGCTAGATGCCCTTCTTAACTGCGAATTATTGCCGAATAGATAAAGACCACACCGCGCTCGAGAGATGGCCACGCACAAGCGGTTTATCGATGACAGGAAACCAATTTTGCCCTGTGCATTGCTCCGGACCAGAGAAAGCAGGATGATATCATTTTCTTGTCCCTGTAAGAAAAAAAAAATACAACTCAAATACCGAAAGAAGCACACACTCAACTCAAGTCAGCTTTATTACAATAGTATTTCCAGAGTATACTACAGAAAGACAACAACAAGTGACTGGTCCGTAGGCAGCATTTATTTTAGCTACTCTAGACGGAACAGTCAGTTATACAAAAACATTATAGTATTTACAGTTAAATTCCTTTGATTGATCTAATTAACATTGGCTAGTTTTACAAAAATGAAACTTCTATTTTACATAATTACTTACATCTATTGGAGTTATCATCAACTTTATTAAATAATTTCCATTCAAGCATCTTTTCATGTGTATTTTTTAGAGCTGTTAGTAATATTTTAGGAAATTTCGATGTAGCCATCATGCCTTATTAGAATATCAACCAGGAATGAGTGAAGTTTCTTTTTATTTATTTTTTTTTCGGGAGCCCTCTTAATGTTAAGTTGCTAATATCCCATTCCATAATAGGTTCTACTCTTAACGATTAACACCACACCGAACCCGGCGATGCACTGGTCTTTCAAGTCCTACTCTTCTCCTACGGATATACCATGCTGCTTATAACTCCTAACAAGTACAAAAAAGCCGTCCATGGCTGCCTACGTCCTTGGTGATTTGGCTGTGCGCATACGTAAGACACTGGCCATACCGCAAGGGCAGTGTGGTGTGTGATCCTATAGCTCTAAGTGGATTCTTAAACGAATCACACTCAGTCAGACAATCTCTGTACTCCACCAAGTGACAATGCCGACTTTATTCCTGGCTTTATTTGACCGGAACGTTTAATATCACTATATTCTACAAACATTCAATTCCAGACCCTGACCAAAACGGTTCAATTTGCTTATCAAATTAATGTGGGCTTTTTAATAAACTCATGAAAATAGTAGGCATTTATTTTAAACCAACCTGAAATGCGTCGATTGTCACCACAGTAATCTTTTCAAGCTCGGTAACAGAAGATGAACAAAATCGATTGGTTATTTCCTGCACCTGCGGCGATAAGGTGAAAGATAATTATGGCTGTTTGCAGACAGCAAACAGCCAAAAAAAGACATATAAATAAGAAAATAACATTAACAACACGAAAAACATTGCACATTGATTTATATTTTAGTTAACGGGCGCGAGCGTTTTGTTTTATCGCCGGAGTTAATTAGAACAGGAAATTCAACTAAGAGTCTTAGATTTGATAAAACACGAACAGCGAGCTGAGTTTATTAAACAGCTTATTTTTTGAACTCTCTCCCCTAGATTCGTACACTCTTTTGTCATCTTTGGGATTTTGAAGAAACTTGGGGCTTAAAACTCCGAGTTTTAACTGTGAGTTTTAATAACATAACTGTGATTAATAAGCCATTTACACGATGGCGTCATACTACTACTATACGGTCGGCCATTTGTTTCAAAATTGTGACACGATACACGTGCGGCTTTTTCCCACGTATACTTGCAATCATGCCTGCTACACGATATACGTGCGTTTTTTTGTCACGTATACTTGCGTTTTATTCCCAAGTATATGACCATTTTCTTACAAACGCGCATATATATGCGCACAAAAAAGCCCATATATATGCGGTACAAACAAGCATGTGGTATATGGGGTCACAGAAAGCCGTCGTATAAGAGGCACCGAATTATACCATCAGCAAAAAACCCCCTCATGTACGATGGAGCTGAAAAGTAACGTCAGTTTGAATCAAGCATGGCCGCAATGGCCGCGTTAATTTCGAGCAAGATTTGGTTCTTATTTATTGCCTTCACAGTAGTGGGTGTTGTTGGCTCCCCGACAACGGATTTGTTGGAATCCGTGGATTGTCTCTTGAGAGACTGTGTACGCTATTTCACAAATGCTGACCGAAACAACGATTGATTCAGTTAGAAATTAGCGTCCGACAGGCAAAAGACGACTCATAAACTCTTGATAATGTGAAACATGACCTTGAGAGTGTGCTTGAACAGATTGGTTTTTCTTCTTTTCTCTCTCGCGCGCGAATTATCACCTTTTCGCCTCCACGAACACGTTCTAAGCCTCCTAGTCTCGAAGCTTTTTATTATTTCCCTGATATTCTCACTGACTTTAATACCCTTCCACCTGCCTCTCTTTCCTTAGTGCTCCTCCACTTTAATTGTGATTTTCATGGTTATCTAACTCGTTCTCGTTCAACTTGCATAAAATGTCCCTCAGGTATCAATTTGCTATTAGTTCTCAAGCCCCGATTATTTGGCCAAGGATATCCCACTGATATACCCTTCGCAGTGTCCGTAACAGCCTTACCACCACTGACTTTAAATAGAAACTAAACCTTTACTTTTTAAGCCTGGATTGAATTAGCGCAGGATTATCATAGTTTATTGTTAGTTTATTTGTCACTGACTAGTACTTCTAGTTTTACCTCTGCTATAGGACTGTTTGCATTACTTAATTTAAGTTTTGTATCTTGTTTTAGTTTTGAAATTTGGCCTTCAGTGGCTTCATTTCTACATAAAATAATTTCTGTCATTTTGACCACAGGTCGTATAAGCCTTCGGCTTTGGCTTTACTGCGTTTTGTACTATATGAACGATGGAATAATAAAGCTAAAGTTAAAGTTACTAGCACTACAGAGAATTACATGCATATACTGAGTAATCATCTCCTGTGGTTTATGGTTCTTTAGGTGTTCCTGCTAGGAGTTGACCTCAGATGCAGTTGTAAAGTGTTCTAATTTTCTTTGACCTCTGTTTAAGCCTAAAGCTTTAATTTAGTATTATGGCTAAATAAAGATTTTAGTTTCTATGGCTTTCTCTGTAAATCCTGGATCTGCGGAATAACTACATGCAAGCACGTAAGCCGGGAATGTGATTATTTCTTGCTATGCCAGGGGGGAGGGAACTCCCTATGATGGCCTATACGGCGAGGCTCCGCCCGAAATCCCGGAGAGGTACTTAACAAATATTTGTACGGGAAGTCTCCACCCCGAGGTCCAACCCTTTAGCCGTCGAGAAAGCGTTCTACATTTGTGACTGATTCCTATCTTATGACAGTGCGGGTTTCCAGCAGTTAAAAGGGATACAAAGTTCTAAGCAAGATATGTGAAAGGAGTACCACTTGTCAATAGAAGGTATACGAAATCGTGAAAAATGGTATATAAAAGGTTAAGGGGTGGGCCTCCGCCGCATACGAATTTGTTGAGTACCCCCCCACCCCCCCTGCCTCTTCCGGGCCGCTATATGTGAGTTTGACGCTGGGCCCCGCTCATAAGTGTTGTTTCAAGGATTTTGACTTTTCACGGATAGTGACTGAGATCTTCAGAGTTGAGTTGTACACAGTAGCTTAAACTAAAGCTACGGGCCAAGTATGGAGAATTATGCTTTGCGTGAGTCAAGGTCATTCTCACCGCTGATAGCCTGATGCAGTCCGATTTAATTTTTTTTGAGATCAGAAGTGAGTCTTTAAACAAAAGCGCGATGTCTTGTTGTTCCTTCGTAGGAATTTACTGTTGTGTCTATGCGATTGTTATGAATTCTGCAAGAATGCAGTTCCTCGTCGGTTGCTACTATGGTGCAGAGAGCGAAACTAGCTGCTATAATAAAAAATACTGATTTGCCATTGGCTGCAAAAAAACGCCAAACTGAAGTTATAAATATACTATCCTTCCAAATAACTAATAGCAAATTGATACCTGAGGGACATTTTATGCAAGTTGAACGAGAACGAGTTAGATAACCATGAAAATCACAATTAAAGTGGAGGAGCACTAAGGAAAGAGAGGCAGGTGGAAGGGTATTAAAGTCAGTGAGAATATCAGGGAAATAATAAAAAGCTTCGAGACTAGGAGGCTTAGAACGTGTTCGTGGAGGCGAAAAGGTGATAATTCGCGCGCGAGAGAGAAAAGAAGAAAAACCAATCTGTTCAAGCACACTCTCAAGGTCATGTTTCACATTATCAAGAGTTTATGAGTCGTCTTTTGCCTGTCGGACGCTAATTTCTAACTGAATCAATCGTTGTTTCGGTCAGCATTTGTGAAATAGCGTACACAGTCTCTCAAGAGACAATCCACGGATTCCAACAAGTCCGTTGTCGGGGAGCCAACAACCACCACCACTGTGAGGGCAATGAATAAGAACCAAATCTTGCTCGAAATTAACGCGGCCATTGCAGCCATGCTTGATTCAAACTGAAGTTACTTTTCAGCTCCATCGTACATGAAGGGGTTTTTTGCTGACGGTATAATTCGGTGCCTCTTATACGACGCCTTCTGTGACCCCATATACCACATGCTTGTTTGTACCGCATATATATGGGCTTTTTTGTGCGCATATATATGCGCGTTTGTAAGAAAATGGTCATATACTTGGGAATAAAACGCAAGTATACGTGACAAAAAAACGCACGTATATCGTGTAGCAGGCATGATTGCAAGTATACGTGGGAAAAAGCCGCACGTGTATCGTGTCATAATTTTGAAACAAATGGCCGACCATACTACTACTACTACTACTACTACTACTGCTACTACTACTAATACTATACTACCACTACTGCTACTACTGCTACTACTGCTGCTACTGCTGCTACTGCTGCTGCTGCTACTGCTGCTACTGCTGCTGCTACTGCTACTACTACTACTACCACTACTGCTACTACTGCTACTACTACTAATAATATACTACCACTACTGCTACTACTGCTGCTACTGCTGCTACTGCTGCTACTGCTGCTGCTACTACTGCTGCTACTGCTGCTACTGGTGCTGCTGCTGCTGCTGCTACTGCTACTGCTACTGCTACTGTTACTGCTACTGCTACTGCTACTGCTACTGCTACTGCTACTGCTACTGCTACTGCTACTGCTACTGCTACTACTACTACTACTACTACTACTACTACTACTTTACGAATTTGGTCTTTTTGTGCAAATTAGGGCTTTTTTTATTTCAACCTCACTGAGTTTACAAATTTTGAATAAGAAAGAAAAAGCGAAATGAGTAATTCTGACTCCCCATTGGGTATTGAACCCATATATCAGGGATACTATACTGCAAATCTCCTGCTTGTGCCTAGGATTTGAGGTAAAGAATACCAATCAAAGATACCTGTCCTCTATATGAGCAAAGAACTGTTATCTTTGATGGACAGACTCCGCCCTCTCGACAAAGCTTTTCTGCAACCTCAGTTATCTTCTTGGCCTCACGGGAATTTCGCTTGCTAGGGGAAGATTTCGATTCGCTTTCCCAGTCAGTGTGAGTCCAGAAGTACATGCTATGTTCCATACAAGCTGGACGAGCATTATCTTTGACTCGCTGATGAGAAAATAAAGGAAGAAATAATTATTCTAGTACAAAGCAATATGCCAACGCTCGCCGCCATCTCTGCGAAGTTTAAGTGGCAGGGAAACATGGCTTGAATGCCTCACAGACGTGAAACGTCATTGATCATGATTAGTCATGGAATTTTAAGGTAAACTTGGATACCCGTACTGGCCTATTTCCTTATTCACTCACGAGGTTAGTAACAACAATCTACACAAGAGCAAGGCTCCGCCCATGAAAAACCACGAGTTAGAGAGTTAAATCCCTTCAGTAATTTTCTTTAGTTTGTGGCCGCGAAGCGCCACATCGCACGTAGCCTCACCCTCGTGAAGAATTTAGCTACGAAACCTGACACCCGTCACTTCGGAATTGAGTTGAATACTTAAAAAGTACAAGAATAGGTTTAATTAACAACCGTTGAGCACAGTTCCACATTAAAAAAATTCAGTCATGCGCAATATACATAAAAAAACAGTTAAGAAAAGTTTAAATAACACAGCAAACACAAAAGAAGACGGATGGACAAAATTAAAGAAGATGAAACAGATTGTAATCGCAATTTTTGAGAACTTGTTAACATCTTTGATGTTGGATGATGTTGGTTGATATCAGGTAATGTTGGGTAATGTTCAATGAAGCTGGGCGTTGGATAGGGGTGGTTGATGATCGGTAATGTTGGATGATACTGGGTGATGTTGGGTGGTGATATTGGATGAAGTTGTGTAATGTTGGTTGGGTGATGTTGGGTGATATTGAATAACGTTGGTTGGGTAGTATTGGGAGACGTTGCATAATGTTGATGGGGTGATGTTGGATGATATTGGTTAGGGTTACGTTATGTTGGGTGGGTGATGTTGGTGATATTGGATGACGTTGCGTAATGTTGGTTGGTTGATTTTGGGTGACATCGTGTGATGCTGCGTAATGTTGGGTAGGTTATCCAGGATAATGTTGGCTGAATTTGGGTAATGTTGGTTGATGTTCGGCGACAATGGGTGTTGTTGGGTAACGTCGGGTGGGTAATGTTGGGTTACGTCGGGTGATCATTGTTGGTGCTGTTGGAAATGGTGGTTGATGTTGAATGATGCACGGTGATGTTGGGTAAGTTGTTGTGTAATGTTTAAGTAAAAAGCAAAACAGCGTTTTGTGCCGATAAAATAGGGACTTTAATTTAAGTTTCTGAACTGCGTTCATCAGTTAACTTTTTGACTCGTTATACGGGTGAGTTAAGTAAAAATCGTGTACGGTTTGTTGTGGCAGAGTACAGCAATAACTAAAAGTTCCGTTTACCTCAGAATGTGTCTTAAGTTCGCTATAAATCTTCAGGGCACGTATCAAGTCGACAAACTCATCCCTCATTCGGCTCTGATATCCGAGTTGTATGTAAGGCAGCTTACAATTCACTAGTCTCTCGAACATGGACAAATCCAAATGGTGACGTTTCTTGAGTCGTTGAAAGTATACAACTGGTTTCAACTGCTTGTGATCTCCGATCATAATAAGATGTTGAACGGATGACGGGATAACAGCAACAAGCTGCCCCTCAAGGATTTCTGCCGCCTCCTCCACAATCATGACACAGGGCTTTAAGTCAGCTGGAAAAAAAATAATAATAGTAATAAAACAAGAACGCACTTAACAGCGGGAACTCAAGCTGGCCATAACAATGGTCAGAAGATATTTTTTAAAAGACTAAATTGAGCACTCAGAGTCAAACATTAGCCTGTAATCCAGATATTGAGTGCAGCAAAATGCACGCTGTACCCATTCGCCCTTTTCGCGTCTCTTCGCACCCCACCTTTTCCCCGATTAACGACTATTACAACATCGTTTTTGGTGTGTGCGTGTTTTATAAAAATAAAAGACGTGAAAAAATAAGAAAGGTAGGAAAGAGAAAAAAAAGAAAGAAAGGATAGTTGGTAGGATTTGAACTGTCGCTTTTCCGCAAACTATCAGTAGTGTCTGGCAGATAACAGCGGCATAATTTTGAGCATAATACTATATCTGGAGCATCAGGCATAATGTCGGCATAAATTTCATATTTGTTAGCATAATCGCATAACCAGATGTTGTATTGCCGTTTTAAAAGCGCGATCATTTTTGGAACTGAATCGGAACAGCAAAGTCAAAGGCCTGGTTACCTCACTTTTTTAAGCTCCACTTTTCCAAAGCACTGGCTGTTCGTACGTGTTGAATCAATACAGATTCTGCTGCTGTTGAGCGGCCAAATCAGCCCAATAAACAAGCTAGAAATGTTCTAAACTTCTTGAGACGTCAAACACCATCCACGTTTGCAAGAAGTTGTGTCGTCTCGCTAGCAATTGTGAACTTACGCAAAAGGTCGGCGGAGGTAATAAGACGACACACCTTGTAAGACAATCATAATGTTTGAAAAAAATTTCCGTCAAACTTCACGTTCCGTCGAACCAATCTTTTGCAAAAGAGCAGAACAAATTAATAAGAAGCATAAGCAACAACGACGGCGACGGCTACCAAAACGTCAGTGAAAAATTGAGTTCGTGCTGCTTCAAACTTTATCGCGCTTATTCCACCTGGTTCAGTAAACGAAATGTTGGCGAATTCGTCTGGAGTTGAATTCTTAAGGCTGTATCGAGGTTCAGGAAAAGAAGAAGAATGTCGTTGTCTTGTGTTCCCGTCCGCCACAAAAAGTGAAATTAGGTACTTTCACGCCCTATTGGGCAACGACGGCTAAGAAATGTACAAAAAATCGTGATGCACGTGCAAGGTTGTTGTTTTCCCTATCTAATCTACTGCTTTTTTGACGTTCTCGTTGCCGTCACCGTCGTCGTTGCTTGGGATCCCTAATGTCAAGTGAAGATCACGACAAAACTCGTACGTAATAGCCCTGTCACGTTTGTCGCAAACACACACGTTTTGCCGCCCTCTTCCTCCGGCTGTCCTGTTGCATAAGCAAACTAATCATAAAACGAAAAGGGAGTGAAAACGACCAGGAACGAAAAAGGCGAGTAGTAAGATCATTGAGGCGTGTTTCAGTGCAAGAAACATGAGCCTTTTCGCGTGTTTAACGGGTGACTATTTTGTACAGTCTGTCGAGAAGTTCATCAAAACGTATACCGTAAAATTCCGAAAATAAGCCCCTCCATGTATAAGCCCCTCCAAATGTAAGCCCCCCAAAATCGTAACACAAAAAACCCTCCGTTAAATCGCCCTTCCGATTATAAGCCCCCCGGGGGCTTGTACTTGGAATTTGCCCTCGAGTACAAAGTAAAACAAAGCAAAAATGGTAAATTTCCTTCCCACTACAAGTTAGCCCAATCGACTTTGGAACGCAAATTTCCCTCCGTACATAGGCGCCTCCGAATATAAGCCCCTCCAAAAATAAGCCCCTCAAAAAGGGCCTTTAAAAATATAAGCCCCTTGGGTACGACAAGGCTTTCCTAAGAAGAAGCACGTGAACCACAGTGCTACAGACAGTTGAAGAAATACAAGCAAATACTTCCGAAACCCTTCTGACGAACAGCGCATATGTAGAGTAAGCGTTGGAGAACATTTCTGAAGGCAGGCTTCCCTCTTAGAGAACTGGACAGTTTTCGTGTACTATCACAAGAAGGAGGATGCCGTCTTACAAGGTATTAGGGAATTTAAGTAAATCGCTACGTAGGCCGGAAGTAAAAACTCCCAAAAATAACGCAGTGCGCATGCTTGGAAATGAGCTTTTGCCGTAGCGCCTAATCCTACAACGTGAAGACCTGTCTTTTGGCGTAGTCGCTGCTACGTGAGTATAAAATTCGGCTTTTCTCCTATTTTTTACAATCACTGGTATTAAAACCTAACATAGATTGTTTTCGTTTTATAAAGAAAGTATTTGACGCTTCTGGTTTTCCAGTAATTACGTCATCCCTGCGTTTTACTAACAGCGAAAGCAAATGAGCGAGAAACCCCGTAGTAACTGTTTGGGTGCCGCTCGCTTGAAGTTGAAATTTGGAGGGCTACGGTGATGTACTCTCCCCGAGACTCCGCATCCACAACCGCCGTAGTAGAGGCCGCTGTAGCGATTTGCTTAAATGCTCAATTCACACATACGTCTACTCATTCCACTTAAAAGGAATGTGGAAGGGGAACGAATACGGAATGAAATTTCTGGCCCTAGCGATCTTATTAATTGTGATGGCACCACAAGGCTTGGAGAAGCTCTGGCAATAGTGTTAAGATACGTTACAACCACTGGGGAATTATACAAGGCCTAGTTCGACTTAGTAACTGGCAGTTCGTTCTAGGGAAAGAGCTGGCCAGCCAGGTCATAACAGTTCTGGCTCAGCAGTACAACATTGCCAATGAGAGCCTTGATTGCGCCATGCGAGACGTCACATCTTGTAAATGCTGCTTCCTTGAGACCTTTTTAGATTATTTTCCCTGGAGTAGTATGTGTCACGTTCAAGCAAGTTCTTAAACCCAATTGAAGCCACCGTTTGAAAAAGATACACTCCTCATATGGTCTAAATTACAAAATAGCTCAAAAAATGAAATTGTGATGTTACTAGCGAAATCGTCTTTTAAATCAAAGTAAACCCGTGGGGAACCCGTGGATAAATGTTTAGAAAATGCTCTTGCGCCCTCCCACATCTTTGACCTCAGAGCTTTCGAGCCGCTATATTTCAATGAGTTCGGGTCGGAGCCGAAGAGCCGATCTCTGTCAACGCAATGTGAGCGAGTGACACATTTACATATCGAAACCCATAAAAAAAAACCCTTTGGATACTCTTCGGGTATCCACGGGTTAAAAACGCGAGCTTCCAAAACGTCATTCTTCAATGGCCGACTCTCGTGACAACCTATCCTTCATAATAGGCTGATTTGGCAACAGAACGGGAAAGTCAGTTGACGACGAGAAAGCACGCGGAAAAGACTGAACGCGACTTCCGGCTAAATCATTTTATAGACTTTATAGGAATATAGGTAGGTAATCTCTCAAACCGGAAGTATTTACCCGTGAACTTTCAGAGGTCCCCTGGCATATAATCGAAACGTTTGAGGATATCGACGACTGCCTCTATGCCTTTCACCAGCTTTTTGAGCAAATCTTAGATCGACACGCACCTGTCAAAAAGGTCAAAATTCGTAGCCGTCCCAACCCATTTATTACGCCTGAAATACGCGAGTTAATGAGAACAAGAGACAAATGGAAGAAACTGGCGCATAGATCTAACGACACTCTTGCCTGGGCGGGATTCAGGAACTATAAACGAGAGGTTAAACGTGAAATCAGAATAGCCGAAAGAGAGTTTGTTCGGGATCAGATCGCAAATAACCAAAATAATTCTTCGGGTAACTTGTGGAAAACCATAAGATCCATCCTTCCTAGGAAATCGTCAAGTCGTTTGGTATATAATCAGGATGAGGAATCTGTTGCAAACTCCTTTAATGAATTTTTTACCTCAGTTGGCCGAACCACTGTTGACAAAATCAAAGCACTTGCCTCTGCATGTAATTACGATCTTACGAAAACAAACTTTGTCCCTACGCACTATCCATTGTCTGAACAATTTTCATTCCATTCTGTTAATTGTAAGCAAGTTGAACAGATCATTGCATTGTTACCATCAAACAAAGCACCGGGCTTTGACAAAATTTCTGCACGTGTAATCAAGGATGGACTGTCAGTTATTTTGTCGCCGATTACTCACGTCATCAATGCCTCTCTTACAAATGGCGTTTTCCCTGGAGGATGGAAACAAGCAGAAGTAACACCTATTCCAAAGGAGGGAGATCATGAACAACCTTGTAATAACAGACCGATCTCGTTATTACCAGTATTGTCAAAGGTGTGTGAAAGAATTGCGTTGAACCAGCTGACGGCATATTTAACAACAAACAACCGTCTTTCTGCGAAACAAAGTGGAAATAAGAAATTTTATTCCACAGAAACGACACTTATCCGCTCCACAGATGCCATTTTGACTGGCATGGATAAGCAGGAACTCTCTGCTATGGTTTTGTTGGACATGAGTAAGGCATTTGACATTATAAATCATGATATTCTCCTTTTAAAACTACAACATCTCGGTATTTCTAAATACGCTCTCGCGTGGTTTACTAGCTATCTGACCTACAGACACCAATTCGTGCGTATTAACCCGACCCTCTCGAATTTGTTGCGTTTAAATAGTGGTGTTCCTCAAGGAAGCATTCTTGGGACGTTTCTTTTTAGTATTTACATTAACGACTTACCTTCTGTTCCTAGAAACTGTTTAACGCAATGTTACGTAGATGACACTAAACTTCAGATTTCTTTTAAGATGCGTGATTGTCCGACAGCTATGAACGATCTAAATAGCGACCTTCTTTTAATACGTAATTGGTGTTTTAACAATTTTCTACTTTTAAATCCTGACAAAACAAAACTCGTAGTCTTTGGAAGCCGACAACTACTTGCCAAACTCCCCGACTTCAAAATTTCTCTTCTAGGAAAAGATCTCGCTCTTACATCTTCGGCCAAAGATCTTGGGGTTGTTTTAGATCCGCAACTAACGTTTGATGACCATATTCTAAAAACTACGTCATCTTGTATGTCAAGCCTCGCACAAATCAGTCGGGTTAAACATGTTCTTGACCGCAACCAACTGGTGACAGTAATAAATGCCCTAGTCTTTAGCAAATTACTGTACTGTTCCACAGTGTGGTCGAACACCTCGAACAAAAATATCTGTAGACTACAGTCAGTGCAGAACTTTGCCGCGCGCATTATTACAGGTACCAGGAAATTTGATCATATAACCCCCGCACTAAGAGATCTACGTTGGTTTCCAATTACCAAAAGCTGTTCTTCCGCGACGCTCTCATGGCATTCAAATGCATGACTGGTCAAGCTCCACATTACCTCAGCGATCAATTTACAACAAGAATTGCGGAAGTTGCCAATTATTAAACATCCCCTTGTATAAGTCGAGTACCGGACAGAGAACATTCCACTACCGCATGGTGCACATTTGGAACAATCTAGACAGTACTCTTAAAACTGCAAAATCGATTTCTACTTTTAAATTTTGTCTAAAAAATAAGTTGATTACTGACTTTTTAAATAGCACGTTATGATAGTATTTTAGTATCTTACTAGTATCTTATTTTATTTTAACTTAAAATATGCATATTGTATAGTACGTAGTAAGAATATTTATTATACGATTAATTCTTAAATAGGTATGTTTATATTGCTTTGTTCGCTGCATTCTTTCCTTTTAATCGAATTGTTAACTACTTCTCTTATCTTAATTAGTTTTTTTTTTTTTTTTTTGTAGTCGCATTGCCACTGAAAAGCCCCACCAGGGGAGTGTCAATAAACTATGGTATTGTATTGTATTGTAATCTCGTACCCAGATCTCTTGCTGACGAAGCCGAAGGCGAGATCTGGTCAAATACGATATGTACACGTCATCACCTTTCAGGAATGTGACAGGCGATAAAAGAGCGCATGTTCGAAATAAATCCACAATATCGCGGCCGTTTTTCTGGCTCATCCTCGGTGTAAGAACCTGTTAAACTCACCGGTCACGTAAAACAAAGAAAACAAAGAAGTCAACACAATACAACCTAGAAAAACAAAAGGTACAAAGCAAAGAAAAAGTTCACAGGTTCTTACACCGAGGTAAACCCGTTTTTCGACGTGTTAATAAATTTGATAGAGTAGTGAAGTTTTTTCTAACAAAACTTGTGGTTATACGCACATTTTCAGTATGAATTTGTTGTCGTTATTTGTAACATCAAATTCAACGCAACAGTTAGTTTAAAATAGGCTCCTGTTTAAATTTATTTATCATAGCGCGCGCTAACTTATACGTGATAAGTTTTTAGGTCCTTTTCAAAAGTCTTTATTGATACCGAGAGAGAGAGGGAGTTGTAAGAAGTCTTTAAAGATAAGATAAAAATGGCTTTAAAATTTATATTGAGACGGAAAACTACTTCTTCAGTGAAAATATTTACTTGAACACAACTGAAGACTTTGCAAAGAATTACCTTTTGTGCACACGCCATAGCTCGCGCAGGAGACAACACTCGTGTCATTCGCTCACAATCTAGCCAATCAAAAAAGTTGAATTTTCTCACTTGCTTCGGCTACGTCAATAAGAGATCTGGATACGAGATTATATAGGCAGGTTGAGCGTTTGAAGAACCTGGTGAGTGAACTGGGGCATACTTAAACTGTTAATGGTGACATACGAAACGCTCAAACTTTGGAAGTTTTGCTTTTAAAGAAATCCAATCGGGTCACCTAGAAGCGACCGATCCGTCTTCTTGACGATACGGATGAGATTCCAGGCAGGGGCTCAGATTTCTTTTAGCCCCGTGCTCTCGGCATACTAAACATAACAATTAACTGTTTATTTTATGGCGTGACAGAACACTGAAAAGACTCTCGGACTACAAGAGCACATTTAATTTCTCATATCTCAAATTTGTTCACAACAATATTTCTGATTATATCACTTAAAGACTGCTTAAGAAGAGTATAAATATTATCTTACTAGCTTTTGATTACCCATATACAACACATCAGAATAAACAAACACAACTTACCCAATAGGTTGGCCCTTATTGATGCCCCAGTCACGGTCATACCGATAACATCGCACCTCTTCATCACTTCAACATTGTGCTGACTTGTCAACTCCTTTAACTGATGATGTAACTGTGGATATTATTCCCAAAGGCAGGTCTTTATATATTGTAAATAAACATTTGTACGACCACCTCGTGCAATTTATGATAATAAGGTACTTGTTATACTTAGAAAGCTCTCGCAGCGTTCAAAACATGGCGTCAGTACTTGTTTTTAAATTATTAATTGTTATATTCCTAGACTTTCACTCAACTGAACAGGGACCGCCATTGGCTGATTCTTGGTCACGTGGCCTTGACTAAAATCAAATGTATCTCGATCGTGATACATCAAGCAATGTACCCCGCTCGGGACACATTACAGCACGCGATCAGAGCATGGTGGAAAGTGGCGTGATAGAAAGCGGGAAAAACACTGCCAGTTTTCTTTTTCGTGGAATGAACACAACAACATTCACAATAACACAAACATGAAGCCTCAAGCTAAAAAGCAACGATTTTCTAAGTTGTCTCAGAAGAGAAACAGCAGCTAGTGGACGAAAAAGATGCAGATAATATAAGGAAAGTACTTTTTAAATCATTCATTCAGTGGTTTTGAGAATTAAATTTGTGTTCTTATAAGTACCGAGTCGTACTGTTTTGATTCGCTCCTATTAAGCGTATTCTAGAAATATAACAAAACACTTAATGTCAGGTCCCTCGGGAAACCAGTTAGTTTTGTTTTCCCTCGAGTCCTGATGTTTCTCTCGACTTCGTCTCGGGAAACATCAGGACTCTTGGGAAAACAAAACTAACTGTTTCCCTCGGGATGTGACATTAAGTGTATATTGTCCTATGGTAGTGGGATATCCAATGTTAAATGTGACAGCCACTCATAGTATGATGAAACTCTTTCTACCGGTATATGTACTTCACACGACACAGCACAACCGATGGTAGGGGCTTATATACAGCTATTTCGAAAAAGGTTGAGGGAAAAAGTGCACGCGACAATCCCGAAAGGTATTGTGGGTGGTTTAAAGTTAACTGTTCTTCAAACAAATTTGAAAGAATGACACGAGAGGCCATGGACGTATGTTTGCGAGCGCTAAAAGAAAGCAACAAAAGTAGGTTCAACAATATGAATCACATCCCATATTACCTTTCGGGATTGTCGCTTGCACATATTTTCCAACAAACTTTCTCGAAATAGCTGTATACCGCACAGAGCCACTCAGACGACCAACAAGATTTTCAAGAATTAAAAAGAGCAATTTTCACCGGTTCGAAAACTAAGCAACGTATTGTGTAATAGCACTGTGCAATGACAAGACTCTTGTCAGGATTTGAGGTTTGGGGTTGGGTGGTAATAGTTCAGGCCTCTAAACCATTCTGGCATCAAACACTGACCGGCGATAATAATAACATAATTACCTCCATGTATTTAATTGCTTGCTTGTTGTTATAAGAAGTCATAACTAATATATAGATTTAGCCAAGGCTAAAGGCGAAGCGTCCACTTATATACTTTTAATTACTTAACACCAAAAAAATAAAACGAGTAAGCTTCAACCTATGAAAATCCAGAAATTTAAAAGCTCTACGCGCGCGCGAGCATAGCCCCATACCTAAGAAAATGTGGTAATCTACCCATCCGAGAAATTCTGATCATATTACGTGACCGCACGCCCGACCTACCGCCTGTCCGTCCGCACGACAGGCATACGAATGTCGAATAACTCAATCCACACGTACGGCAACCCAAACGCAATTCGAGGCTATTTTGGCGAGAAATCGCGTAGCCACCCGTGTCTTGTAAAGCAGAGACAATTAAAGAGTCAATAAAGACGAAAACGGAAAGCGAAAATCCTTTCTGTATCCGTGTTGTCTAAAGAATGAAGCTTAGTTTAATTGTCAAGTCCAGAAATTTGCAATATAAGAGAAAGACGGGGAAGACGAGAAAGTAGGCACCAGGCCAGCGAAGCTCAACGAGAAAAAGAGCGACAGACAGCAATAGCGAGAGATAACAGAGAGACATTTTTTTTATTGGAACAACAACATGAAAGTTTGTAGCGGCGGTGAGAAAATGGGAAATGCTATCGGGCACCAAGGTGGAATGAGTGGCAGTGAAAAAAAAAAGGACAAGAGGACGTAAGATATTTGCTCCATAAAACGTGGAATTTTTTATAGTTTTTAACCCCCCAATCAATAAAAATCCCAGCAGGCAAATGTGACAGCTATAAGCGTATGTTGCAAATGAATGCACCCTTTCTTTCGACTAAATTAAACGTCTACATTCACCTGGATAACAGAGAAGGAGCTAGAGTGATATATATTTATAAAAAAGGAAACCAATATCGTTGGAAGAAAACATTAAAGTTTTTTACCAGAAGTGAGAAAATGAGAAATGCCAGCGACCACCAAGGTGAAAATGAGGGGCTGTGAAAAAGATGGGAACAGCGACACATACGACATTTCCTCCATAAAACGTCTAACTAGGAAGTTTCTGGAAGTTTCACGTTGTAGTCGTGCAAAACAAAGGCAAAGGAATGTACAAAAAAAGTGTGCTGCACGTGCAAACTTTTTTTTTTTGGCTAATTAGACCTACCGATTTTTTCGGCCGTTTTCGTTGCCGTCGCCGCTGAGCATTACACGATTTTATATTTTGTTCGAGTAAAATATAAATATTAACGAGAGCTTTTAGACCTGGCTAAGTCTTCATATTTGATGTTGCACAAGTTTTCGTTCATGAATTCACCTGTCAAAATTTTGACCAAGCGGGGGGAGGGGAGACTAGGTTGCTCTGCTCCTGGAGCGTGACCAAAAGCGTGATCAAGCAAAAAGGACAAGAAACATCATGTAGATTGTTCACTCGAGCAACTCCGTTGGTTGCCCCTAGAATGCAAGGTACAACTCTGGGATTCTCTTCCCTACCCTACTGAGGTTTTTTTTACCCCTACCCTGAGCGTCTGTACGGACTTTCTTTCGGGCTTACGCTGGTGACGTCATAACCAAATTTTCTCGGATCCATAGTTTCCCAATTTTCTTTAGCTATGGGACGCCGGACGTTCCTCTATGAGCTATATCTATATGCAGAGTCCCTAGGTGCTAAAACGTTTTTTAGCCGTGGGAAACATCACTGAGTTACAAAGAATAAACGCAGTCACGAAACGGTTCTTATTTATTTATTTATTTATCTTTTGTTATTTCATAACACGCTAAGGATACAATACTCGTCAAATGCTGTTGAAACAACCGAACGAAAGAAGAGGAGTTTTCAAGTTCCACCTTCTCAACCAACCTATCTATCTTTTCCTTCCGTGTACCTTTTCACTTCTTTCCAAATATGAAATCTCGCTTTTTGTTTTCAAATGGACGTGACAAGTGTTCCAACATGTGACAAGTATCATAGCAAAAGCGAAAGCCTGGTATGTTTGTACCTGCATATATGTTTCGCTGACATCTAAGAACTCAGAACTGGCCTTTGAGAAGTACTTGTTTTGAAGAGCATAAACAAGTTGTATTCTTTTGATATGAGTGAGCTTCCAGACTTCATTCTCATTCAAGAGATCTTTGAAAAGCTTTACCTCTACAAAAAACAACGGTTAGTGGCAATGTGAGAACAATTTTCAAATGAGTGTCGTAAAACAAATCTTAAAGTAATTTAAGTTGAACCTCCCTTAGTTATCACACTAAATTTCAATACTTGGTGCCGGGTTACAGAAAATGGTCAATTAACAAGGTGGCACCACATGCGAGGACATACGGGAGGAGGGTGGGGGAATCCTACACATTTACTTATGCAAAGAGAATTATTTATTGCATAGGAGCTGTTCAGTAAATGCAGGGAACACTAAATGTTGGAAACGTCGTTTGCCGCAAGTGACTCTGAATCTCTCTAATGGTGGTTACATGGTAACGTGAAAAACAAGAATAAATTAATTGAATGAAAAGGTGAACCAATCAAAAGTAGATGTCGTACATCCGTACATATGGCGGTTAATGGCACCCTTAAAACTTGTTGCCCCAATATTGCAACAAATTGTTAAGTCAAACTGTGTTAACCTTAGTTGTTGTTTGCAATCATACCGTTTTCATCTAAACACACAAGTTTGCGCAAACAGGGTAGATCTCGTGAAGAAAAGCACTCTTCTTTAGCGATTTCTTTATCGTCTTCGTCAGGACTCTCTTCGTCTAAGGCAAGAAGCCGTTCATTCTGCTCAGCAGATGGGTCTCTATAATCATTCGGATTTTCCTGTTCCTGATCTTCTTTGTTTTTTTGCTGACCACTTTCCACAGAGCTACATCAACAAGGGCATAATCAAGTTAAGATTCACTAAGGATTGCATTATGCGCTATTAAACTGCCACCCTTATCAAACGTCGGGTTTGACTTTTTCTTTTCAGCTTTGAACAAAAAAAATTACTTGCCATATACTGTAATTTAAACACCAAATTCCAGTTAAGAACTTTTAGTAACCCCCTATTTCAAGCGTAAATTCCAGCTCCACTTAAAAAATCGTATATAATCTTACCATTGGAGATAGTTCGTTTTTTTTTTTTTTTTTTTTTCATAATCTCCTCCTTCTCTGGCTTTACAGAAATTTGGCGTTTTGCAAAATTTTACACTCGCAGAGTGACATATGAAGGGACAAATGATTTCATTTGGCGTTGGCTTCGAAACATTAAAACGCTAGCGCTTGAGGCGTCCGTCATCTTTGGAATCCCTTTAGGGTGAACATTTGACATAAGCCGTGGTTACACAAACGAGGTATTCTTGTCGAAGTATTTTTTCCTAGTGTTTTTACATACAGGGATCTTAAAAAGCAGTCACACTCAACTTTGTTTCCCATGATACTTGCGCGTGTAATGCGCCATCTACGCAGGCAAATTCATAGCTACTCTACTGATTAGTTGTTGTGCCGTTGCAATCAGAAATAGGAACTATTTTACTGTTCCACGGTTAAATCCCGTGATAAATTTATCTCGTAGTAAAGAAGCGGTCACACTCTAGCACACATCTCGTCTCCAGGTAAAGGAAGTTCCGCCGGCGGGAAAAAGACTCGATGTTACGGCAACCACTGAAGGGGTTAGTTTCAATGAAGACACTGTTGTGCTGTCTCGGTAGGAAAGCCAAACCCAAAATTTGATTGAGTCAACTTAGCCTGTGAACAGGCTCGCGGAGGAACGCAGTAAAGGACTCCCCTTGTCCCTCCCCATCTGCCCACTCTTTCAAGCTTCATCATCGTCTTATACCTCACAAGAGAGCCTGTTTACAGGTCTCGTCATTTGAGCTGACAAATTCAATTAGCCACTGTAAAATCATTGAAAAGCTAACATTTCGAAGGATAACCCTTAAAGGCGAAGGTCCTTATTTTCCGTCGGTAACTCGTAAAAGTACACATAAAACTGATGACAAACCTGAGGCCGACAGTGCACCCATTTTACCCACCTCTCTCCATCAGTGCTCCGTTTTACGGGTATTTAAAGCTATTTAAAGCTACGCGTAAAGGAAAGAAGTCGAAACAAGACGGATTTTCACACCCGAGCATCGACCTCTGAACCTTCCGCACAGAAAGCCGCGCAATAACCGACTGTGCTAATCCTTTTTCCTTTGGTAGCGCTTTCTGTTATTTTTCATTTCATCAAAATTTTAGTCTGTGATAGTGGAATGTAAATTGGTCATATGTTAATAAAGATTCCATGTTTTTTTTATCTGTTATTATTTTTATTATTATTATTATTATTATTATTATTATTAATATTATTATTTTTACTATTTATTTGTTTGTTTTTACGGAGGCAAATCATAGTAAAAACAACAGTGTAAAATTGTTGACAAATTGTGACAGAATAAATGATTGCGACGTCTTTAATGGTCTGTAAGATCAAAATGGTAGGAATGCTATTGAACGTTGGGCATCGTAAAGTCCACAAAAACATATAACAAAGGAGTCTGATTGGCTTCATGGGAACCATTCCACTCATATTAACTATGCGCAAATTGACTCAATAGACTGACAAACCGGCGGTTGACAATTCGCTCATTTTACCCACCCCCCCTCCCCCCTCTCTCTCCAGCTTTACTTAATTAGCTACTTAAAGCTACACCGTACAGGAAAAAAGTCAAAACAATGATTTTGGGGTCACATCTGGGAATCGAACTCGGAACCTCCCGAGAAGTAACTTCAAAATGGTGGTAATGTTATTGGACGTTGCGCACCGCAGTCCACAAAAACATAAAAATGGAGGCTGACCTTCTTAACCACTCCACTCTATTAACTATGCGCAAATTGACTTATTTGACAAAACTAAGCTCACAATTGGCCTGCTCTTCAGTTGGCTTGATTAACTCGATTAGATAGAACGGACCGGTAATCGCAAAGGTAAGGGTTCGATTCCCGGTCAAGCCTGATTTTCTTCAGCTTCTTTCCAACTGCTTAGTATGATGAGTTAACTTCGAAGGTCACATATGCTTTCATCTTATTCATTCTCAGTTCATTGATTTTTTTCATATTCTCAAACCAAACTCTCCTGAAGGGTACGGGTCAAGCATTCTACTCAGTGGCGGATCCACATCTTCAGATAAAGGGAGGGGGAGGGGGGGTCCGCTCATACGTAAATACATACATGTTTTATTTATTTTGAGTCTTATACAATTTATACCACTACATGAGAAATTTCTGCAATTTGATTGGCTTAGAGCACTGGTATTTCAGCTTAATTTGAAATACCTACATGTGAAAATTACAAACCTTTTGTGGGTAGTCGTATAAACAAATAATAGCATGATTTGTACGTGATATTTGGCATAAATACTACTCGTGATATTTCAAAATTGTCTCAAATTTCACTCGCCTAACGGCTCGTGAAATTACGTATACCATTTTCGAAATATCACTCGTGGTATTTATGCCAAATATACTACAAATCATGCTATTACCTATACAAATAGTATATCAACTATTTCCAAACAACTAAAATTACAAACAACAAAAAATTCCTAACCATACATGGCTAATAAGTTATTAATTAAGTCCTAGAGTATTTACTTTTTGCCGTCTTCCCCTTTCCTTTTTTCAAAGCATTCGAATATATCTTTGGCTATTAGTTTTTGCATTTTAGCATTTCCGCTAAGGGGGTTTATTAGAGACATGAATATTTTGTTAGGTGACATTCTGCTTATTTTTATTCTATATTCTTTTTCCAAATAATCTAGTAACGAACATCTTTTTTCTTGGTAAGCAGGGCATATATTTAGAGAATGATATTCGTCCTCCATTTCTATTTTACAAGTTGGGCACATTCTTTCTGTAGGTTTCTTGAACGGTCTCGAATAACGTCCTGTCTCTATGGCTAATTTGTGGTTACCAAGTCGCAGTTTTGTTAGAGCTATTCTGTGTCGTGTATTGGTGACCTGATGTAGGTAACCTTCACATTTGTAATTGTCTATCGTTTCGAATAACCGGTAGGTTCCCATTTTGTTGGTTTGGTTAGCATCTTTTCTGGTTTCGTTATTTATTTCACTTAGCCATCTTTATAGTTCGATATCCTTAAGTCGTTGCCTGATCATGTTTACGATTCCTATGTCCGCATAGTGTGCTTTCATCAGGGGTTCTCCTAATCCTATCTGTTCCAATAAGCTTTTGATTTTTTTGCTCCAGAGAACTTTATTTTCATTCCATTTAATGTCATTGTATGCTATTTGGGATAATTTGTTTCCACTTTCTCCAACAGATTTTTTTTCGGCCCTTCGGGGCTTAGTTTGGTCTAAAAATAAGGGGGCTACTGACGATAAAACGCATGCAATATGGACTTACCTTTTTTTCTTTACGGAAGTTTCAGCAACAAACTGATCAAACTTTTCTTGGGAAGGAAGCCAATCTTTCAAAGTTATTTCCACAAGTTCTTTCGTTTTAATGAAAAAAAACAAATACTTAAGTTTAGTTGAAAATAAATAACCCCATAAGGGATGGACCATTAAAAAAGTTATGGAGGGAGAGGTTGGGCAACCAACAAAACAAACAAAAACAAAAACAAAACACATTCGCACACAGGAGGCAGCATTGACCTTCCCAAATATTAGCAATGGGCACCAGAAAGCAGATACGATTGATTTTCTTTTGGAACTTTAGGAACGTTAATTTGTAATTAAAAATGTTTTTTCTTTCCTTGCTCCTGTACAGAGCGTAAATTGATCGAAAATGGCATTTCAATTAAAGGAAAAGCAGAGAGTTATAACGAAAGCTGCTTACTCTACGTCAGTGAGGTGTTAGACTTTGAAAGTAAAGCAGAAGAACGAAAAGACGAAAACAAAAAATGCATAGGAAGCACCTTTCAGTCTCGCTTTACTTTTGGGTTGCTCGTTGATCAATGCATCCACATCATATTCTGTCACTGTCTTCTTTTTGTTGTCAACCAAAAGGCACTTTATTTGGTCTTTAGACGCTTCCTTTATTTAAAAAAAAAAAAAAAACGATTCAAGTTTGGTATGGTTGATTAAAAGAAAAAGAAAAGAAATTCTGTTTGGCTCTACTGCTGTCAGGTTGCGTTTCAACTTTCGCGGTTGAGAAAAAAAAAATAGTAACAGGAAATATGCTTTTAGGGTTATACACTCAGTACATTACAGTCGTCATCTCCACGATCAGAGGTCGGAATAATATTTTGTTCCTTCCATCGCCTTCTTTACTTCGTTTACCACTACCTAAATGTCTTACCTTCAATAACATATCTGCACAGAAACGACTTGATATCCGAAGGTTTTCGTACGCTTCTCGCACTTTTGGTTGCAGAGCCCAAATCTGCGCTTTCAACTTTCTCTTTTGATTGAACAATCTTTCAGGCCAATAGCGCCCCACCTTAGGAAAAGATAATAAGTTTGAAGAAGAAAAAAAAAACATATTAATCTGCGGCCAGTTGTTCGAAGGCCGATCAGCTCTAAGCCGGGGTTTCTGATTCTTTTGTTTAAGGTGACTCGACCCAGTTTTTTTTAGGGGGTACCATCCTACTTTGAAGCTCTCTGGTATCCCCACCTTTACTTTTATCGTAAGTATAACACATAGAATGGATAACATATAGATCAATCTACAATATAACATAAAATTTTTGGCGATCGGAGTAAATGTCACGTGGTTATAATGCCACGCCCCTTTGAGGTCTGAGTCGAAAATCTGCTGTTGCCAGCATTTTTTCGTGAAAATCTCTCGGCTACACATAGTGCGCATTAGTGCCTTGCGCTGAACAGAGTTTCACCAAAATCGCAAAGACCCAATTCGAGAAATTCAGCAGTTTCCAAATTTAGGTCATAATTTATGCGAAAATGATAAGCAAACTTTACACGGATTATGTCTAATAAACTATGAGATTCATCTCTGTATTTTGGGCATCGTTATAACAGATGGGTCCTTGCAAGTCAGCAAAACGCTTTAGGGCCTTGTAAATGCGCGCGATTTCGAGCAAAGCAAACATATAGAAATTATAGTTTTCGCTATTTGTTGACGTTTGTCAGCGTTTAAGAGTCAATCTAACGAAAAGAGCATTTTCTTAAAAATTCGTAGTTTTTTTTCCTTCAAATTTTTTCAGGGCCACAATTGATTAACTAACTACCCGGACTCTGAATTTCATGGTCATTGAAAAACTGTGACATTATCTTCTATAAGCCCAAACTTGAGTAAAAATTGAAGATTTTTAGCGTTTTGGCTGAGTTTGTGCTTTGGGAGTTGTCTATTGTTTCTAGTCTGTCATTATACAGCATTCTTGTTCAGCACGCGTGCAATGACCGCGCTTGGCTGACTTCCGAATTCTCACCGAGATATTATAAATTTGGTACAGTGAGACAGGCCATCGCGTGATACATAGAGGTTTAACTAACAATTTTTAATCAATTCTCGTGCTTCTTGTGTCTTTGCAAAAAAATCAAGAAGTGCTACACACTAAGTCTACTTACTATTACAAAAATATCATTTTTTCATAGGTTCAATGCAAGCCAATAATTAAACCAACTCGTGACGGGAATATCTCGGTGAGCATTCGGAAGTCAGCCAAGCGTGGTCATTGCACGCGTGCTGAACAAGAATGCTGTATAATGACAGATTAGAAACAATAGACAACTCCCAAAGCACAAACTCAGCCAAAACGCTAAAAATCTTCAATTTTTACTCAAGTTTGGGCTTATAGAAGATAATGTCACAGTTTTTCAATGACCATGAAATTCAGAGTCCGGGTAGTTAGTTAATCAATTGTGGCCCTGAAAAAATTTGAAGGAAAAAAAACTACGAATTTTTAAGAAAATGCTTTTTTCGTGAGAAGGACTCTCAAACGCTGACAAACGTCAACAAATAGCGAAAACTATAATTTCTATATGTTTGCTTTGCTCGAAATCGCGCGCATTTACAAGGCCCTAAAGCGTTTTGCTGACTTGCAAGGACCCATCTGTTATAACGATGCCCAAAATACAGAGATGAATCTCATAGTTTATTAGACATAATCCGTGTAAAGTTTGCTTATCATTTTCGCATAAATTATGACCTAAATTTGGAAACTGCTGAATTTCTCGAATTGGGTCTTTGCGATTTTGGTGAAACTCTGTTCAGCGCAAGGCACTAATGCGCACTATGTGTAGCCGAGAGATTTTCACGAAAAAATGCTGGCAACAGCAGATTTTCGACTCAGACCTCAAAGGGGCGTGGCATTATAACCACGTGACATTTACTCCGATCGCCAAAAATTTTATGTTATATTGTAGATTGATCTATATGTTATCCATTCTATGTGTTAGACTTACGATAAAAGTAAAGGTGGGGATACCAGAGAGCTTCAAAGTAGGATGGTACCCCCCCAAAAAAAACTGGGTCGAGTCACCTTAATAGCATTTCCTCGGTCAGTTTTTCTTTTCGTTTTAGCATATCCCAAACATATAATTGTAGACGAATATAATTAAACTGAATTAGATTTTTAAGCTTTTATATCTAATTTCTAAATTTCGCACTAATCCTGGGTTATCTTAACCCAGCCCTGGTATATGAGACTCAACGACCTCTTTTTAAAAACGACTGTCTATTCATCAAGATCTACTGGTATCAAACGAGAAACCTCACGCAGTCTTTGTTGAAGTGTAACTGTTTTCACTAAAACCACACCAGGGACTAGCTGCGAGGTAAATAGTATGGGATATTTACTACAGTCCACAAGTAACCCACACGCTTGATAGTTGAGTGGTGGGCTACAGCAAAGGTAAGTTAAAATAGCAATATAAGACTCATACGATAATAATTTTCTACAATCAATAAGAAGCTACGTCTTCCGGATTGGAAGGTCTCTGATACGTCCGGTCGAAGAAACTAAACATGAGCTTTTCAAGCTAGCCGCGAGAATACGCTTTAAAATATCCTTTACAAATACTTATTATAACTGTGTAAAAACAGATAACTGATAGCAACTCGTGTGAACTAACCTCTTTCAACAAACATTTCTTCAATTCGTTATCCGAATCTTCATTACCCAACCTTCCAACACGCAGAATCTTCACATCGGGCGAAGAAACTTTGTGGAGACATTCTTTCAAGAAGTTGTTCAAAGCATAATTCTTGTAAGTAACTACCTATAGAGAGCACACAATGAAGTATACAATAACTTTCCATGTTCCAGTATGCTAATATTATAACTACAGTTTTTATTATATGTTGCTTAAAATCGGTGAAAAGTAAGAAAAAAAAAAACACTCAATTGATTTTTCTTTTTCTTCAAAGTTACAACATAATCTTATCTGGACCCCGTAGCCTATGCACCACTTATTTCGTTACCGCGTGAGGCGTGTGTGAAAGCAGTGAAAGCATCTGCACGCGTCTCGAAAGAGGAACCGATTCCTCTGACAACACGGTCGTGTTTTCATGCACCGCTGTCATAGGAAACACGTGATACTGTTATGCACGCTGCTAATTCCACATTGCCACTTGCTGAAGTAACCTTTCTTCATCATTATATAACTTTGGTGTTTTCTCGTACGAACCATTGTTGTTCGTATTTCTTTCTACCTGTTGTTTTTCTATACGCGGTGTTTGTACACAATGAGCCATAGGCTCGCGGCTGCGTAGACCCACAACCATCTTACACTAAAGTAGGCCATTTTTCAAGTTTATCCTTTGGGAAAGGAAGTGCAAAACAAAAATCGAGGTTTAGATGCGCTTTGAAAACATCTCCTGCGGCTTAAATGACGGGGTACAGGAAAAAGATGGAGTTCTGTTGGGTACGGTTACTTACATGTAAATTTTGCACCGAAAAATCACTTGGACTAGTCTCTCTTTTTTCGCACCTCTCCCTCCTTCAGCCTCACAGGTGTGGCTGTTTTCTTCTCTCGCACGTTTCGCCCGACGGAAAACAGCGAGACTGCTCGCAGTCTGTGATAACTGGGTTTTCGAAAGCGTAACACAGTCGGCTAACTTGAATCGTGTTGATCACCTTTTAAGGTTCAGTTTGTAAGAGCAAAATATATAAATGGCATTTTTTAGGCTGGTAGACTGATTTTGCAATCTCTATCAGTGCTTAATTGCCAATTGTCTTACCAAGATTGGTCCATATAGCTCAGGTACTTTCATAGACAAAAGAAGGCGCACTAGGGCCACGCCCACAAAAGACTTCCCAGTCCCTGGTGGTCCCTGTAAAATTTACAATGTCAATAAGCCAGTTCATGAAGGTAATTAGAACAATTTAGTTAACTAATATTTTCGGTTGACGGGCTATATTACGTGTGCGACACAGGCTAGCTATCCCCACGTATCGAAGAGCTAAGCAAGAGAGAATGGGCTCCTTCTCTCTTGAACTCTGTTACCTCAAACTCCTTCCACCTCCAATGAATGGGCAAATGTCTATGACGAAGAGAGAATTTTATGAGGCCTAGGCCAAACGTCGAACCTTTCATAAGACGAACCAAACTCTAATTTGGGTCGACCTAAATTAAGTTAAGATCGTCTGTTGGGCCAGATACGTCGAACCAATCAACTGAATCATACCAAAAAGCATTTTTAGCCAAACGAAGCTATCGCAGGTGAAGATGTACGTTTGTCCCGGAGACGATCTTCAGACGTTCTATCCGTCTGAAGCAGACGGATAGAACGTTTTCGACGATCCAAACTCATAAGACGAACTTACCTGAGCCAGACTTCATCTCATCCTAAGGCCTGACCCAAAACACTTTTGTGTGAATAGTTTACTACATACTTGCCATTCCCTTAGTTATTTAACTGAACTGCTGAATTTGTTTTCAAAATGTATTCTTTACTGCTTACCACCTAAAGCAGTGCCTTGAAAATCAGATGATGTGTGGGTTTACTTGTAAGTAATACAATTTAAACCAGCTATACACTTTTCATAGTTACCTGGATTAACACCAGCCTATTCTTTAAGGCCAGTTCAACTGCAGCCAACTGTGTTTCATCAAGTTTGCACTTGTAAGAACTATTAAGGCGTATTCCATCGAAGTCCTTCACAAGTGAGTAATCTGCAGGAGACTCATCCTCATGACTACATTCAGAGGGTGGTTCCTTTTCAAAAATAATTCCCCAGTCTGGAGGGTGTTTAATTTTTTGCATGTACTCTGGGGGTTCCATGTGCTTTGGATCTGGATAAACCAAGTACTCCTTGAATGGAACATGATCTACAAACAACGTAGGACGACATTGTTTGAAAATCACTAATGCAATGTTCCCTTGTGATAGACTTGCCGAAAATAGAAAGTTTTAGTATCGATAAGGACATCGAGTAGCAGCACCACATCTTCTCGTTCTTGACTTGTACTAGTAGTTGATGGCTAAGCATGTACTATAAGGACAAGCGCGAAAGAAAACTAAAACGGACTTAAAATTGATTAGAATAGAATGATGAATTGATGGCTTGATTAATAGCTAACTGATGAAGGGACGACGTGACTTAAAATTAAGGGTATTCAAGGGTCATCTTGGGGTATTCATTAATTATAAAGAAATGCTCTTTTTTTTTCTTTTTTGGTGTCTATGAATAGCTATCATGATATAAAACCTATACCACTAAGAAAAAAAAAATGATAATATATAGACCACGAGCGGTCGCCCTTCTTTTACTCAGAACCACGTGCCGCGAGTGGATTATTAAAATTACGCAAATTAATGGTGAAAATAATAATAAGCCACCATTGTACTAAAAGGTAATACCTCTGTGCTGGAGAATTTCCATGGCGGGAGCATAGGATAGATAGAATGTTTGACTTTCAGCCATGAATGCTCTGTTATCTAGAGTGAGCAATCAAATGGACGGTGTTAATAGCCGAAACTCTGTGCGCCCAAAAGTTGCGTTCGCGCAGGGCTCTATGTCTCACCTGTAAGATGAAAACATCATGGACCCGTTAAACTGACTTACTTTCGTTGGTGATCTCCTGCATCTTTGCAATGAACTGTGGCTCCAACATGACATTGGCTTTTTCACAGAGGGTTATCTTGACAATCCTGAAAAATCATGAATTAGCAAATTTTAATACAGATATATTTGCACACTATCCAAAAAGGGTTCCTGTAAGTCTGACTTAAGAATTTTACTCACGTTTAGGCCCCTATTGTACAGCACAATCATGAACAGTACCACAAGGGTTTCATTTTCAGACTGCAAAGTTAAAACCACCTTATGCTGCATGATCAGTAATCTTTACCACAGCAAAGTCCCGTTGAAGAGATTTCATTAACCCTCGGACGTACACGCAAATTCATACCCCCACCGTGGTAGAGGGGGGGGAACCCCTCCCTAGAGTTTTGGATATGTTGCAGTATTTCGAAACGATTTTGCCTTCAGTGGAAAGCCTTTGGTCTTCTCAACAAGATGAGGTATATTTTATGGGTGGTGGCGCTGATGGAGGTCTGTGACGTCACCAAACATGGTCGCCATCTTGGATTTTATCAAGAATTAGAAATCACGTTAAAACCACGAGAAATGGTAATTTTTTTGCCCTTGACATGTAAAATAACACATAAATAAGCACTCTGCATTATTTTAACCACAGTTTCACTTTTATTGTTGAAGGAAATTGAAAAACATGCATTTTCACTGAAAAATGGCTTGACCACCTGCTACTTATTACGTCATATCTCGTAACCATAGTAACTGACCATCACAAAGCTTGCCTCAAAATGCGTGCAAGGGATAAACGATTAAAAGGAACAGCTTCTGAAAACGTCAGGAGTTGATGTTTCACCAACTAGGAAAAAATTCAGACCCCCCCCCCCCCCCCCTCCCCCCTAGCACGTCCCAGGGTTAAAATGGTCAGAATAGAGGGAGGAGGAAGGCGTAACCGGTTTATGGAACACATTTCGTGGAAAACAACCGTACATGTACATAGCAAACCTTTCGCTAGCGATGTGGCCCTCGACCACTGCCCAAACAGGTTCTTGAAAAGTGCCATCCAATGAGATACACAATAAACTGCCATACAATAGCCCCTGTGCATGCCTGGATAGATGGAAATGGAAACTTATGAAAGCCTCGAATGAAAATGACGCTATCCACTAAAATGAAGGATTGTATAAAATGGTACCTCACTGAGGAAACTACGGAAATTCTTGTTCATGCGTTTGTTACTTCTAAACTAGACTATTGTAACTCTTTATTGTATGGCCTCCCTAAGCATACGATAGGTAGTTTGCAGTCTGTGCAAAACACGGCTGCTCGTATCGTTACTTTAACCAAGAAATTTGATCATATCACCCCTGTATTGATTCAACTGCATTGGTTACCTGTTCATTTTCGGATTGTTTTTAAAATTTTATTGTTAGTTTATAAAGCGCTAAATGGTATGGCACCATTATATATCACGGAATTACTTAGTTATCGTACATGTTCACGTACGCTACGCTCTACTGATCAAAAACTTCTGGCAGTTCCGAAGTCAAGACTTAAAACATACGGAGACAGGGCATTTTCCGTTGCTGCACCTAAACTCTGGAATGAGCTGCCATTAGATCTTAGAAGTTTAGTTACAATTAATTTATTCAAGAAACACTTAAAGACTGATCTTTTTAAAAAAGCATATAATGTTTAACTTTTCGATAATTTTGAATAGGATTTATTGTGATATTTTTATAAATAAGTCTGCTAATAGGTTTTTAATTTATTCATATTTTATCACCAGTGGGATCTTCTTAATTATTTTAATACTATGAATTGTAAAGCGCTTTGGTCAATTAGTGGAGTTAGCGCTATATAAATTATGTTATGTATGTTATGTATGCTAATGATGAAATGCTGCACTATAAAGAATGAGAGGGGATCAAATAAGCTAGAAACAGATGAAACGGGAAGGCCAACAAGATTTATATACGTCGAGAAGGGACTGACTAGAATATAGCCTGCGACGCAGTCGTTTACTTTTTCTTTTAGCCAAGCGGGAAAAACGCAGCAGACGCACGAGTACGAGCAAAGTGTAGCGGGGGAAGGGCGGGGAAAGAAAGGAAAAGCCTCCCACCGAGCCCAGACATTTTACCGAACGCCGTTCGGAAGACAAAGATATATCACGATTGATCATTCGTCCGTCAATCCAAACCATTGATCTAAATATTATGCGTTTCGCGCAAGTCAGATCTTCCAGGTCGCTCTCGACAATTTCTGCAAGAAACTTCTAAAGCTCAAACCGAAGTAACTGGGGCTGCTATCAAGAGCGGTAAGAATGTGCTGTCAGTTTTAAGGATTGGTTCGGCAACACAATATTTCACTTTCTCGTCGGTGTCACAAAGAAAATATTTTAAGTTTATTGTCCTCTAGGCGTAATGAAAGACCAGTGGGTTTGACAGCAGATTTCTTCCCCAAGCTTCGCTTAAAGACGTGGCTGCAGAAAAATTACATCACTCTCTTTTTTTAAAAAAAGATCGTTAGCTGCGTAGCGGACAGTACCGAAGAAAGCAACCCGAAAGCTAAAATTATGAATAATTCGCCGACCTTCTTCTCAGAAGTAACAGGAGTGTACTAATCAATGCGTAAATCATCAGTATTCAATCGTGAAGAGAGAGGCAGATTAGCATCGTTGACAAAGGAAAGGGATCTACTAGCTATTTTCCAGGAGACCTTTTTTATCCGGTGACCCCTTAAATAAAACAGTCTATAAGCAATTATTTTTTTCCTTTTTTTCTCAGCGGAGGTTTCGTGAATATTCCTTGCACAGGAGCATATAAAACGCTCAAATTGCGCATTTTTCTGCCGCAAGTATTCCAAAAGCAATTTGAATAGTTCTCGTCACGATGGAAGGAAATACCACCTCTTTTTAAATCATCCGCTAGCATGATTCCATGACTGTCTGCTCTTTTGGAAGGATTAAACAAATTTGCTCTTGACCAAGATCGCTTTCTATCTGGAACCTGTTTTGATTTTCGTTCATTTTAAACAACATTTACATCCTTTCTCGGGCAATAAAAAATTTCCCTGGCAAGCTAAAAAGATTTCTTGCACTGTCTTTTCCCGTAAGTGTTAAAAAATAATTGTTTCTCATGTGGCAGTTAACTTGACAGGTGATGTCCTTTGGGAGCGAAAGCATTTGGCCGTGTTCGGTAAGATGTCTGCTGTCAAGTACAGGTGTTTCATTGTGTTGTCATACCTCCCTCCCACCCTCGCTCTTTTTTCTCCTTTTCACCCCATGCCCTAGCGCGTCTCCTTAGTTTCTCCTGCTTGGCCACAGGAAACGGAAACGACTGCTACATAGGCTAACTAGAATAGGACTAAGATGTGATAGCCGTATTCCTTTATCATGAAGATCAGATTGAACCGAATGGGAAAGAAGAAAAAAAAAGCATGGTATATGTCTCAGATATATGGCTGAAAGATACCTACTGTATTAGTAAGAGAAAATGGCGGTTGTAGATTATGTAGACAACTCAAATTCTGAATTGCACATCCAAAACGAGTTAATCTCGTTGGGCTAAGTAGAAGGGTCTGCACATAGGAGGCTACGGTTTATCCGATATTGACATGGGATTGGATGGTATATAGACAGATAAGACTGTTTGACAATGAATGAAACGTTCTATAACAAGCATAATCAAAGCACTACTCACTCGCTCTCACTCTCGTCTTGTGACTCTGGCAACTCATACTCCATTGAAATTGACATAACAGTTGGAGATTCCTCGTGACAAGTTGAACAACCACGTAGAAAAACCCTGCAGGTGAAATATATAACGGGGATGATTCAATAAATCTTTTAACAAAAGCTGCCGAAAGTAATGAGTACACTACTGGTATATTCGTAGTCAATCACCCCACTCTTCGGCAGAAATCGTATTTCTATGCCAATTATCATAGATGGTTAAAGGATTATTTCACAAATAGAAAACAAATCGTTGAAAATAATCAAGATATATCTACATCTATGCCCGTTACATGTGGGGCACCACAGAGATCAGTTTTTGGGCCTTTACTTTTGGTAATTTATATTTTAAAATTAATGACCTTGCTAATAAGCCATTTGCATGATGACGTTTTTTTACTACTACGACCAGAATCCTTCAGGGTTTTGCTTTCTTTTGCTTTCTTATGATTTGTTACTGGTTGTAGTAGTAAAATATGCAATAGTGCAAATGGCCTATTTTACCAATAATCTTATTCACTATTCTCTTTGTCGACGATACAAATCTCTTTCTTTCTGTGCAAGACATATAAAAGATGGAATCAAACGTTGATAGTGAATCACTAAGGTAAAAAGATGGCTTATTCCTTTAACATGCAAACAATCACCTTAACCTAAATGTTTAGGGTGCGTTCGATTGATCGTATTCTGGAATAAGAATACGCAAAAGTTTTGTTGCCCTGTAATTTTTTGGACCACTCAAACACTAGGAAAATTTTATTTCAAGCAGATTTCTATATTTTGCAATGCAATGAAGGCCAGAATAAGTTATTTCTTGACTTTATTCTATTTATTCTTATTCCGCAATACGGTCAATCGAACACGCCCTTGGTCTCCTAGCGGCCGTTTTTTGGTGTCGTAACGCAGCGCTCGGAGGAACTTTGCGTGACGAAACACAAACGGCTCCGAAGGATACTGGTATAAAATGTAAAGAAATCAAATTTTGTTTTCTTCAAAACTTGTAAAAAAATACAACAAAAAAAAGTAGTTTACTCGATGACGAGACAGAACGTCCAAACGGTAGTGAGGGTACGGTTCCAGTCAAGTCGAGCCTCAAATGTCCAATATGTGAAGGTGATCACTATCACTTGCTGACTTGTTGAAATCTGTTTACAGGAAAGTCCTACGAATAAAGGCACAAGTTTCCGCGTGAAAACTCAAAAGGGTTTCTGTGACAACTGCCTTTAGTCAGGGCACATGGTCAAAGCTTGTCCAAGAGAGAAGTCTTGCCAACTTCCCAGTTGGGAGGTGAAGCACCGCAAACAAACTATCCTCTTTCATCCGAAGAGACAGCAGTGTGAGAGAAGTGAGCCGCAACTCGACCCTTTTCCAAGCGGTACTGGATCCGAAGAGCCAAAAGTCCCAGCAAATGATTGCTTTGTTGGAGTTAGAGAAAAACTATGTAGCTCTATAGGGACCAGAAGTTCATCCGAAGGTCTGGGGGAAGTTCCCATCAAAGTCAGAGCGAAAGGAAAGAGAACAATAGTTGAGTCTTGAGCATTACTTGATCGAGGTTCTGACACATCGTTCTGCATTAATCAGCTGATAAAACGTCTTGGTGCAACCGGAATGAAGGCAACTTGTCGCTGACAACTTTGGGTAGCGAGAACGTCAAATACCAAAGTCTAGTGGAGTGCTTGGAAATCAGCGAACTGTACGGAAATAACGCCCTACCGAACGTGTTTTCAAGGTCAAAGCGTCCTGTTACAGTACATATCATCCCGCGCAAAAACGACGTGGATAGATGGCCTTGTCCGAAAGGTATCCACGTGCCTCGTGTCGACGCTTAAATTGAATTCCTGAAGGGATTTGATGCACCTGAAGTATTGCAGGCCTAAGGGTATAAGAGAAAGTAACGACGGATGTCTGCATATTGTCAAGGCTATGTTTCAATGGACAATTAAAAGACCGCTTGGCAGAATAAGCCGTGCTTAATGAGCCGTGCTAAATTTGGATATCGGCGAATGGCGGCAACATGGCGAAGGCGACGGAAGGCCATCAGTATCATGAGCAACAAGGGGCGGTCAGTCAGGCTTCGCGATCGACATTACGAAGTGGTTATTCCTTGGAAGATATCTTTCCCCTGATCCTGCCGAACCATAGTTAGAAGACGATCAGAGGCTGCTATCGCTTAAGAAAGAGATTGATGAATGAACTACAACTGAGGTGCTTCATCTTCATGGAGAGCCTTTTAGAAAAAGGGTAGGCCGAAAGAGTACCTGAAAATCAAGCAAGCATATAATTTCTAGGAACAATAATACGTACATACATGTACGTTTTCGAGTTACCTGTACACTGTCATTTCCTTTGAATCACATTTCTGTCCACTCTTCACAAAGTCATTGATTCCTTTCCTCAATTTGTAAAAACATTCCTCTCTGAGAAGTCTAAAGTACGTGTTTAAGTATTCCTCTTCTGATTTGTACTTGGTATCTTTTCTAACCACTGGCAAGTCATCTGTCTTTTCTCCTGCAATTTAATTCAAACACGAGATGATGCATATGTGTGTTCGATCAAGGAGCAGCATGTACAGCACGGTAGAATGGATTTTATTTGCCACTGCTCGTTACTGTTGGTTCCCCAGGTGCACTTCACATTTCTACACCCAAGTTTCAATACAAGATTAAGTGGCTGAATAAAGGAATCATATCGCTACGACCAGTTATTATACACAATGTAAAAAGTATGAAATGGGACCAGTCCTGATGAAATGTACTCTCGTTTAATGTAATACGCGTTAGAAAGTCTGGAATTACCAGTACATAGAGGCCCCTCCCATGTGTTAACTGACAGAATAAACACTAAAAGCGTATATTTTACCAGTCAAATTTGATTTCACTTTAATTTGGTTTAACCTAAGTTGATTCTCAATTCCCTCTGTGCCTTAGCCCTACGAGACAAAGAAAATTAAGAATCAACCATTGTAGGTAAAAATTTTTTGACTTAGGATTTTCACTCTCCCTCCGCCGCAACACCAGTTCCTAAGAAAGTTACCCCTTTTGTCCAAATCTCAAGCCTGTCAGAGACAGATGCTTCAACATGGTTCTACACTTGTTTTCGAAAAAACGATGGGTGTTATTTCAGCTTGTTGAATGCGTAGACAAGAAATTCATCATTTTTAAAAGATTTACGGCATTGCTTAACAAATTGAACGAAATAAAGCTCATTTCTTTACTGACTTGTCTAGCATTGATCAGCAACGTTCAGCAATAAGTTGAATGGCCTATATCAACATTCGACATGGCATTACATTGTATGAAACACTCTTTAACATACTCAGTTTGTGAATCTCCTCTGTAACAGGTATCAGTGGAAGTTTCTTCCAAGGCAATGACTCAACATCTTTTCGCGCTCCAGGTACTTCTGACGCAAGGACTGATGAGAGCTTTGAAAGGAAGTCTATGGCTGAATGTCCATTCTTGTCTTTTTCTTCAACGCCACTGGAACTCTTTAGTTGGTTATGAGAGAGGGCAGTTGCCATTTGCATCACTTGCAAACCAGATGAAGGAACAGCAATGATGACATGTTCCAGAATCCTCTGAACCAAGCTACTTAAAATAATGATGCAAAAACATGTTCTAATACTGATTAAAACTAAAGGTTAGTGTCAATCTACTGCAGCCAAATGCAAGTACTATACAACTATACTTAAATGGGGAGATTTTTAACCTTTACTAAATAAAAGATTCTCATTTGAAAGAGTCATCCTCAATTAATGTAAATAACGTCTTACGTTTTAAAAGCTGAGGTAGTTTGAGCAAAAAAAAAAAAAAACTTGCTATACATGCACTGTGTCAGCTAGATGGCAGCTTCTTATACATGGTCAATACTGTACATGTACTTGTTAATCACTGCATAGAAGCTCATTCTAATCTTCTGTTATGCAATGTATGATTATAATCTGTACCTGACATTCTTTGGCTCCCCAACCACTTTATGTACAAACTCTGGAAAACCAGTTTTAAAGAATGCACTTTGCTGAAATTTTCGGATAATTCCACTGATCGTTTGTGACATTGAAACACATGAACAAATCTTGTCAATGATGTCTAAAATCTGAAGAATCATCTCATTTGTGTAATCTTTCTTGGAAAGATCAAGAATGTACTCCCAAACTGCGGAAAACCTGCCATCCATAAAAAAAAAAGTCATACAGTTTGTACATGTGCTGAGGTTGTGAATGAGAGCACACATTCATGAAAAGTTGTGTCTGATCACCTAGGGACAGTAGATTCTGTGGTTGGGTTAGTAGATTCCACCTTCTAGTTATCAAATTCAGTTGTGGGGGATTAATTGATTATATTTGCATAAAAATATTTATCATGCAAGTGAAATGTTTTTGGGATAGTATAGTTTTAATTCTAAGTACTGCTACAACATCCCTTAGAGGGATAAGCTAAAAAATTCTTTTTGTTTCCACTCTGGAATTTCCTTTTAAAAAAAATGCCTTGCAAATTATTGTCAGAACTTGTGAGCCTCGCAACCCCGCCCATATTTTTCTAATTTCTCTATGCACGCCTCAAAGTCTTAAATTCGTGTACCAGTGAGGCACTCCAGCCACTGAATAATTATTATGGGCTAATTCCAAAGTATAATGGGGAAACCCATGGACAGCTTGGCCATTTACACAGTTCATATTATGTGTCCTGCATACTGCTAAAGTGCAAAAAATTGTGAAGTCAATTAAACACCTTGCGTTTTTATAAAATGAAGAAAGCTGGTTGTTACTAAGTTCAGGTGAAGAAAAGAATGACGCGAAATAAGTCAATTTCTTTAACTAATGTAAATCTGAATAAAGATATATGAGTCTTCAATGGGAACCTGAACACCTGACTCTTTACCCCTCCAACACCCAGATTGGGCACCCCATACTATAGAGAATAATTTATGAATAGTAGGGGCTAGGAGACAAAGGAAATTGAGAATCAATCTGAATTAAAAAAATTTAACCTATAGTAAATTTAATTTTGACCTGTAACACATACACACCTTTTAATTTCAGTCACAGTTGCAGATGAGCCACTATTTTGAGCACAGTTTGATAAATGCTTTAGAAATGACTCAATTTCTGCCCAGCTAAGATCAAAGTGCCTGTAAACAAAAAGAATTAACAAGTTAAAAGATGTAACATTGTAAAATTTCAATGCATTAAGGAACTCATGTGTTTGATTGGTCGTATTCTGCAAGAGGAGCCACTATATCGCTACATTAATTGTACAATGTCATTACAGCGGCTACTTCTTATGGTCCTGGGATTGCTGGCTCAAACTCCCTTCTCTTCTTTGGGCTAGCTAAGAATTACCCATCAGGTTATTGCGTCATTATTATCCCTAAAAAACTAACAGAATAAACTGAGGTTTTCAAAATCTTCCCGTATCTCATGTCTTTGAAGAAAAAGATATTAGCTTATCAATTGTGCCTTATAAAGCATTTCCTCTGCTAACGTTTTACACACTTCACTGTATTTGATTTCAAGTTATCTAGAAGCAACCATGGAAACGAAATAGATTGAAAATAATTATGTAATTATAAGATATTTTTTACTGCTAAAAATGGCTTTTTTTCTCATGACACTGCAAAGGCTTTACTAGACAGAATAATGATTTAAGTGTTAGATAGCTAATAAACCTGAATTATCATACTATCAAAAGTGGGCTACATATAAAACCTTTTCGTTAACCTACTTAATTATCTCTAGTTCCAGTGCAGTTACTTTCTTCCTTCTGCACTCTGTCACTTCAACAATGTCTCCAATGGCCACCTTAACATGAAATCCTTCCACCACACTGTTATCATCAATCTTAACAAAGAGTTCATCAGATGGCAGGAAACGGCCAGAGCCTCTCTGTATTCTGCATTCCTCCTTTTTAACCAAAACAAAAGCTGCTGCCCTTTCATCAGATTTCCAAACTACGACACCTTGAAGTTTAATGTTTTGCTCAAACAAATCAATATTGAGCTTGCTTCGAAGATCAAGGTCAAAATCAGGAAAAGTTTTTCCACATTCTGAATCTAAATAGCCTTTGAGGTCACAAACAAACTGTTTGGATGAGTCGCGGCTTGTTACCTCAAAGCCCACAGATTTCTTTTTCTCAAGGAAATTTCTGACCAATTTATGGCGGAATTTGTATGTTGTATGATGTGGCTCAAGTGTGTAACCTCTATCTTTCCATCCTGATGGCACCTTCACAGAGGTTAAAATGTCCTGAAAATCCCTCGTTAAAGAAATTAAACAAAGTTTATCAGTGCAAACACCTGATTCCTTCAAGAAACTAGTTAATTCTTCAACCTCTCTAACATCCATTTTCAGAGACAGGCTGAATTAAAATATTTTTAAGTTGATGAATCTTTAATCTTGCAGGAAGTTCTCAGTTTCTGTAGGGAGAGGTGGGTGATATTCTGATAAATGGTACACGCTATTCTCGATTATTCTTGACAACAGTCTTTATGTCACTCTCAATTCCTCACGGAAACCTACAGATCTTTTTCCTCTTACCAAAATAAAACATGTCACCGCCCAAACCAAGCTCGAAATACCTCCTGCAGTTTTTTACTGTCTCCCCTCCGGTTCGGAGGGACTGATGTGTTAATGAGACCATCTTTCCGAGAAAAGTGAAAGCCACATGGATCCTTCGCGGAACCATTAATCTTACAAACACTCTCCCGTTGTTACCAACGGAGAGCAAATGTCGTTTCCTTTGCTAAAATAACCAGAGGGAGCAAAACCAAGGCCTGAAATTAGCGGCACATCTTGCAGCAGTGTATAGGTACCGGTACGTACGTAACATTCATCCATCAGTACGCCAGCCATTTTGAAAACACTACAAATAGTATATTGCTGGGGTAGAGAAGGGAGCATTTGCCTCGTTCCAGATCGAGGCGTTGAAGGTACAGTAAATAAAAAGCCCGCAGGTACGAACTTAAAAAGGCACAGGGGTACATAAAAAAGTATTTGTTGCAATTAGGAATATAGTTATTATTTATTGAAGAACTTTTCGCAATTTCTCTTCTCTGAAACGATGATTGCGTGACAATGCAACCTGAAAGCCCGGGGGGATACTCCTGGGAATTCTTGGTGGGGGTGTGCCGCCCGGTTCTCCAAATCCTGACCCTACTTCAGATCAAAAAATGTCATTTTCCACACCCGTTTTCAGACCTGGCCTCTAAAACCTTATGTCGTCATTAGATTAGAGCGACAACAAAAAAGATTTCTTAAAATCCATTTCGAATTCGCATATTTTTCTTTCTTTCTTGCTCATTTGGAATTGAAACGGTGAACATGTTCATACACTCCCCTAGTTCCCTCTGAAACCAAACCCGATCCCGGCAGACCAAAATGGGCAAAGTCTGCCACTGAGCTTTGTAAGTTTTGATAAGATTAATATTTACGTTTAAATTAAGAACTCATCGCTCCTCATAAAATCGAAATAAGAACAGCCCTCTTATAACTAATCTCACCTTCACAAGAGAGGTCTAAACCAATTAGAAACCTTTAATGGACGAAACTTTGTCCATTCATATTATCCGGATTAAAGACACCTAATATTATTCACTTGCTGAATTTTCTTCCGAATTCCATACATGGGTTCGGTTTAGTCTGGAAGTGAGAAACTATCTGAAGGGGCCATGAGGAGAGGTATAGTAGGGAGGAAGTATTCACTTTCGCGGCTGTTTTTGTGTCGTCGAGTTGCGTGAAGATCAACACAAAAACTGCTGCTGAAGACTAGAAGAAAAGGTAATGCATGATGATGAAGTACCCACCCCAGTCGTCCCTTCCCTTGATAGCCCTTGGATGGTAATGTTGGTTCCAAACTTGTTGACTCCTGCTCACGAATCAAACACAAAATGACTTGCATGTAATGAAACAATGCGGTTGGTCAGACGTCTTACAAGTTTGTGTACACTTACAGGTTGGTTCACGTAAATTGCCATTCATTCAGATCGAGAATGTTGTCGTTACAAGAGGATCTCAATGGGGTGGTGGCTTTTACGGTTATCGGCTAAAATTTTGGCTCTTTTACGGCTATCGGTTAATTTTTTTTAGTTACGGTTAACAAAAAAGTTAAAAATTAACTTCTTTTGTTTCAAAAAGTTAAATATTAATTAACCTGTATTTTTTGTATCTTTAAAGCAAAATAAAGGTCTTAGGATCATCTCGGGATGAAATAAACTATTATTTTGAAAAATTTTAACATTTGATAGATTATACTTTTTATAAAGTGTTCCACTTCTATATTATTTTACACATAGAAATGTCAATAGTCAATTTAAAAATAATCTTTGTGAAAAAGCCAAGCACACATGCGAACGCCCAACTGAAGGCCGGGACGCGACATTCATTACAACAGAAATGGCCGTTTTCACACTAGAGACGGATTACTCGTGTGAGACGGGTTATCCGTTTGATGATTCGCGTCAGATAGGTAATACTTTTTAATTTGAAAATGGAATAGTTTGAATTTTGAATGAACAATCCGCCTGACTTTATCCGTCAATTTCGACGGACAGTTTGAAGATGGATTATCCGTTCCAGATAGCCTGTGTACGGCCGCCCACTCCCCTCAGAAAAAATCGGAGAAGAGGTGTCTGTACACAGGGCGACTGTACACAGGCTAGTCTCAGACGAATAATCCATTTCTAGCTGTAGTGTGAAAACGGCTAATAACAAAATTCCCGTGTCCAGTGTTTTTAATGATAGCGAAGGACTGTACGGAACGACTGTCAGCCGTTGCCTTGTCCATAGGCCTCATTATTTCGCGCGGGCTAATGCGTTTCTGGTCACGTTGTCCAAGCGAGTTCGCCACGGAAATGCCTTGATCGGGATGGCGTGGAAAGACGCCATACGGGGACTAGGCATGGCAATGTCTACCGTAGTGTCAGAGAAAAACAGGGAATTGTTGTTTATCGGCAACGTGTTTTACAAACAGTGACATCCCTGCGTGTTGTTTCACTAGTGTTTCGAGGGCACGACCTCCTGAAAATCGCAAATATGAATTCCCAGCAAGAGGCCAGATTTTCGCTATGGAAAAAATTAGTTCCCCGCGAGAGCGGCGGAAGTGGAGTCTAGCTCTAGGTCACAACTAAAAGGCGCTTGGCCTTACGTGTGCATGGAGTCAAAGTAGCCGGGAAATAAAAAACGCAACCATAAGTGTAATAAGTGAGCTTAGTACCTTCCTTAAAAGTAGCAAATCTAGGGAACAATTTCTTTGATGGTTAACTCTTTTTTACCCTGTTTACGGCTAACGGTTAAAAATTTTCAATTTTTACGGCTATCGACTAAAGTTTTGGCCGTTTTACGCCTATCGGTTAACCCCATTGAGACCCTCTTACAAACTCATAGACATCAAGCTTTCTCCGTAGTCTCATACGCAGCCGTTTTTGTTTCGATTTTCACGCAACGCGAAGGAAAAGAGCTGCGTAGGAGGCTACGCCAAGCAAAATCCTAGAGTCTTGTGTCACCAACTCTAGATCTATTGTAGATCACGTCTTCAGTCGCATGCAGCCAGCTGGTAACTGAATATCTGTGGGCCTACGGTAAGGGCCAACCTACTGACTTACTATTAGCACTCCTAACACAGACCTGGAGACGGGCCCTAGACTCCAATCTTGTAGTTGGCGTATTATTCATTGACTTCCAAGAAGCGTTTGATGGCATTTTTCAAAAAATTTTAATCCATAAACTTAAGCATAATTACGGGATCAAGGGGAACCTACTCGACTGGGTAAGAGACTATTTGAGTGAAAGAAATCAATACACCGTTGTAAATGGAGAACTTTCAGACCAAGCTTACGTAGCCTCTGGCGTCCCTCAAGGCTCCGTGTTGGGACCAACACTTTTCGCCCTGTACACCGGCGATCTACCTGAGGCTGTTAGTTCTGCATCTCTCTACATGTAAGCTGACGACACGACTACGTATTGTATAGGCGAGTGAGCGGACTCCATCTACGACATGCTCCATACATAATGCACTAAAGGAATTAGAAGATTGGAGTTCAAAGAACCACCTAGTACCTCACACTAAAAAGTGTGAAGCAATGATGTTACCGCGAGGTAGTTTTACTGGCCCGCTCAACGCTCTCACACTGTGCAACCACACGATAAAATGGCTGACCCACTCACGATTGTTAGGCGTAACTATCGATAACAAACTTACATGGTCTCAACATATTTTTGAAGTGAAGAAAAGTTTTGTTAACAAATTAAACTTACTAAAGCGTAGTTCTTTTTTACCACGTAATATACTCCTAGACTTATATTTTAACCCTCGGACGTACAAGCACATTAATACCCCACCGTGGTACAAGGGGGGAGGTGGATGGATCCCTCCCCGGAGTTTTCGATATGTTGCAGTATTTTGAAACGATTTTACCTTTAGTGGAAAGCCTTTGACCTTCTGAACAAGATGAGGTATATTTTATGGGTGGTGGCGCTGCGGGAGGCCTGTGACGTCACCAACAACGGTCGCCATCTTGGTCACCAAGAATTGGAAATCAGGTTAAAACCTAGAGAAATGGTAATGTTCTGTGCTTTACATGAAAAATAACACATAAATAAGCACTTTGCATGATTTTAGCCACAAGATTTACTTTTATCGTTGAAAGAAGTTGAAAAAAACATGTACTTTCACCCCAAATTGGCTTGACCACCGGCTACTTATGCCGTCAAATCTCGTAACCATAGCAACGGACCATCAGCAAACTCGTCTCAAAATCTGCGCGAGGGATGAACGAACAGCTACTGAAAACATCAGGTGCTGGCCCCAGTTGTTCGAAAGGATGGATAGCGCTATCCATCGGATAAATCACTATCCAGTGGATAAGTATTAGGGAAACCAATTGCACCAACCACTGGATAGAGACTTATCCGCTGGATAGCGCTATCCGTCTTTATATGAACAACTGGAGCCTGATGTTTTATCCTGTAGGAAAAAACTCAGAAAAACCTTTTTTTGGGGGGGGGGGGGGGGGGGGGTGAGGGGCATCCACCCGCTTCTTGTACGTCCGAGGGTTAAGATAATCTTACCCTCTGTATCCCATGCGTTGCCGATATGGGGAAGTTTGGATGGGTGGATGGGTTCCTAAGCTAATATGCGGCCTTACGCGAAATATGCCTACTGTACAAGTACTTAAGATAGCCAAATGGGATACTTTACACTTTATGTACAAAGTTGGCAACATTGGCATATATGGTCTTTTATGATTGCACCCCTCCCTCCATGGGGCATATATTAACCAGGAAGACTTTTCCACCTCGGCCTTCGGTCTCGGTGGATACCACCCTCCAAGATCTGCAGAATTCGTCATATCCTACGAAAGCCGAATTCAATAATTGTTTTGTTATTCCTTCAAAATAATTCCAAGTTTAAAAACAAGCTAAAACAGGCTAACCCTGGTCGATGTAAGTTCATATCGATAATGCATCTTTGTCGGGAAGTTTAAAAAAGAAAAAGATCTGTTCAGGTCTGCAAATATTCTCCAAATAGCAGATGTCGTCCGTCTTCATGCTGTTCTTGTCATGTTTATAGACAATATTTCGCTGTGAAACGAGTAAAATGTTCCGCTGACTGTTCAGCCATTTTGTGCTCACTACCAAAACAACTGAACCTCGCTCCCAGGTTTTCTCGGTTAATGGTTCAATAACCTGCAACCGGGTTGCACTTTTAATGTCATTTTGACGTCATCGGTTCAATATGACAAAATCCTTGCCAAATTTGGTCAACAGTAGCTGGTTATGGTGCATTATGCGTGTGGTATTAACCAATCAGAAAGGGGGAAACATTTTGAATGAATGCTAATTCACATTATTGCTGAATGATATCTGTTGTTCTTTGTTCTTAGAGCCATCGTGTTCAAAACGAAAAAGTTATGACGAAAAGTTCGTCATTGATAGCTCAGTGCGCCTGTATTAATGACGGAGCCGTGTTAATTACAGTCCTGCATTAGACTGTTTGTTGTCAGTGACCTAAGTGTGCCGAAAGAAACGACCATGTGCCACATCAGATTTTGTTTGATTTTGCATTTATAGGAGGTTACTTTAATTGATGGCGTTGGCTTTGATGGCGAGGAGTTTATTGATGAAGAGTTTAGACTAATTTACGGTATTTTCCTGTATCTAATAAGATTATACGTTGAATTTGCTATGTTAATATTCTATTAAAATGTTTTTAAACTTTTGATGTTTCTTGTAGGCTGACATACACTTTCACTTTGAAGAATGGGATCGTCTCCTCGATGAGGGAAACTGGGAACCAGAACAGATTTCAGACAAGCTGCCCGCCTTTCTGAACTTTTTGAGACAAGTTCAGAGCAGTGTATTTGTCAGTCACAGCTGATTATAAAAACAAATATGGTGAATTAGCCAAACAATTTGATGAATTTAGCACATATCCAGAGATGGCATATATGGCTATTGTAACTGATATCCGATGATTTTACAAATAACACAGTCATTTAAGCAATAGACCACGTTTTCCGTGTTTGCATAGCCTGATATAAACACGAGAGGGGTTGGGAGAATTCGAGACAGTTATGCAAACCCGAGACGAAGTCGAGGGTCTGCAAAACTGTCGAGAATTCTCCCAAGGCCTCAAGGGTTTATATCAGGCTATGCAAACACAGGAAAAAAGTTTCCCATTGCTTTTATAAAATAACTTTCCTAGAAAAAACGCAGAACTCTTTGTATGGCACTGATTAAATAGAGGATATTGCGCTCGTTCGTAAAATATTGTTTTTGCCACGAGAAAATAAAATTCATATCTTCAAGCCGCCGTGTAATGTTCTTTTTATTATATAGACAAAATGACATCGATAAAATAATAGAGGGAAATTACCAAAATTACGTCATCGATAAACTCACGTGTGAGATTATGGAAAATAAACCACTCGGGTCCCGGATGTAGTTTTTATGAATTTTACGAGTGGTATATTTTCCAGTAAAACACTCGTGTCTATATAATAAAAGAGAAATTCTTACCAGTCGCAATTCTTGTCCACGAAGTCTTGCACGCGTAATCAGTTCTTGTTTTGCAAAACGATGCTTTCCAAAATACGGATTTTTCTCGCTTTAAATGTCAGCTTAAGCGAAGAAAAATTGACACTCCTTCTTTGTAACGATTTTCCAAGTTTCAGCCGACGAAGGTTTGGGTAAATAAAGTAAACTTGTGGTGTTTTGAACTCGAAAACTTTTTCAAATTCGTGCTTGCGTGATTAGCGCGAGAAAAGCAAAACATCTTGCCGGCCACAATTATGTTTACATACTCTCAAGCAAACACTCCTCTCGGCTAATCAGAGCGCGCGTACTATCTTAGTTATCAGCCACCCTTCATTGTGGTCTATCAAGACGCAATTTTAAAATGCACGCAGACTGCACTAACTTTATGCGGCGGAAATCCAATGACACGTCATTGAACCTCCACGGAGCAGAGAGGTAATTTCATTTGTTTGTCTTACTCTCCATCATTGTGTTGTGAAACTCAGTTGCGTAGTTTATTTTGAAAGGGAGATATTAAAACTAGAAGAGCTTTGTTATTCTTAACCTTGCATTAGGTATTGAAATGGCGTCCCATAACGAAGGGAATAAGGAAGTATCCCTGACCCCTGCCCCGGTTCCACCTTACACGTACGTATCAATAGAATTCGAGGCAATGAGTCGAGAAATTAAACTGCTTGAAACATATGGCAAATCCTCTTTTATTTCTAACTCTGATTAGACCCCCCCCCCTTTATAAATCATAACCCTTTATATCTATATTAATCTTCTGTGATACAGACGAACCAGTTTCCGAAAGGATTTACTACCATACTAAACCAAATGTCACATTCACGGCTTTGTTCTACTTTAAATAATGTTTTACCAAGCTTTGCCCCTTTATTATTTTCATCCTAGTTTTGTTGCAGCAATTTCCAAAATCTTATCTCTCTTAAATTTAGCTCACATCCCACAGTATCCTTTTTCATGGCACCCATAGGACCTCGTTCTACAGAAAATAATAAGAAGTTTATTAGTGTGGTGGTAGCATATACTTCTTTAAACTTTTCCCCCGTCATAATATAATTCTTAAGGATTTCTGGGCCAGTATAAAATTATTGCAAAATGCCTACCCATCAGCCCCTCCCCTAACTCAAAATATTTTACCGCATGTCAGAATTGGAAGTCATTTGACAACGTTGGTTTTAGGAAGAGTCTTGTGGGATCAAGATCCTTATTCCACCTGATCATTGGAAGATTATTTTGATACATAACGTCTGCTATGTATGACTAGGAAATCTTAGAAAGGCTTGTTAATATAGGAGCTACTTGTGACACGGGCAAGAAATCCTTGCTACTTAACCAACATTTTTTTGATAACAGGGCAATTTTCGCGCTGATTGGTAGAGAGCAGTGATCGATAAGTTTAAAAGCGATGGAAATGACGAGATGATGGCGCAATTTATTTTTTCCGGCTTTCTCTCTCGCGCGCTTTTTTCAATAAACTTCAACGGAAATGGACCTCAATAAAAAGCATTGACCGCGCGAAATATTAATGAGGCCTAGGGACTAGGAAAGTTTTGAACATTTTGACATCATTTCTATGGTTGATAAGAACAGAGTTCGTAGAGGGGATAAGAGTATAGGCCATGGACAATTGTCGTAGAGTTGTCAAATGACCTGCACCGTAATTTTTAGGGAGTTATTATAATTCCAAAAATGGAGTAAAAATTTTAGGTACAGGATAACCCCTTTTTTGGGGTTATTTTAACTCCTAATTTAACTCCGAATTTGGGGTCATTTTTACTCCTGAAAAAGAGTTCTTTTTACTCCCAGTCTGGAGTTAAAATTACTCCGAAATGGGGTTACTTGTACTCCTTACATGGGTTGTTTTTACTCTTTTTGGAGTTATTTAACTCTGAAAGTGGAGTAAAAATTTTAAGTACAGGATAACTCCTTTTTTGGGGTTATTTTAACTCCTCAATATCTGGGGTCACTTTTACTCCTGAAAAAGAGTTCTCTAAACTCCTTTTTGGAGTTAAAGTAACTCCACGAAAAATAACTCCACTGTAAGGAGTTAAATTAGCCCCACTAGAGGAGTTATTATAACTCCCTGAAAATTACAGTGTGCACAATCCCTCCCGCTGTTACTTCCCGTTTAAGACTCCCAGTCAGTTTAATTCCCCACCCTTTCTGGAAAGTTCAATATATTAAGAATGTAGTGTATGCGGATAAATTCCAGTTTACAATTCGACTAGGTTTCTGCAGCTGCTGGATTTAATAATTTATGATCCACGCGTTTCTCCCGCACGCATCCGAAAAAAGCGCACCTAATTATTTCGGGCGTGATGTTGTTCACACTAAAAAAAATAATTTACTTTGATTTTTTTTCCTTTCTTTAGTCGTCACTAATCCAAGTGTTCCAAACTTTTATTTTACCCACGACCTTTTATTCATCGCCTCGTAAAAATTACGCGACAGTGGAAATCCACCCTTAAAGATAGCAAAGGACGCAAAGGACTTCACTGATATCAGACCTTGTAGACTTACGAAATCTAGCTCGGATAATCATAAACCAACAAATTGCCCATGATTACGATTATTTTTACTTCTAGACATAATTTTGGCGTTTTTTGCTTAATTACACTGGAATAGTATACTGCCTCGATAATTAACGTTCGTTAGCAATAAGCGTCCACTTACCACATTACTCTTGCTTATAGACAAACATATTCCCATAACTGCTTTTTCCCGTGGCATGGCCCGTTTTAGCCTTGCTGAAAACACACAATTTGGAAGTACCATACTTGTTGTAATTCATCGCGGCGTTGTCTCCATACAAGCAATTCTTATCGTCTACTCCAAATATCTTGTAGCCGAGGGATTCAGCTTTCCCTTTGCAGAAGTCATAACTCGTGTCTGGATCGGACCCGATTTTAATGTCGCCAAAAGAATCTGGTAATGCATTTGTTGGGGATTTATTGCTGTAGCAGCCAATCTTTTCCCACGCACCTTGGAAAGAAAGGACAAAGACTTTCAAGTTGTCAATTTACCCGCCCGGAAACCTTAAATCAGCGGCAGGAACAAAACCCAGGTCACAAGTCACAGGTCACGAGCCAAGTTAGTGTACAGATCACCATACTAGGGTAAACAAACAACAATTAAGTTGTACTTCTAGTCCTAATCACAATCCAAAATAGAATTTTACCTTAATGGGAAACTGCTTATCTCCGTTATATATCAATAGAGCATTGACCTGCACTTTATGTCCTGTGACCTTTGTGTTCTTAAAAGTGTCTTCTTAAAGTCTTTTCAACCGTCAATGAGTGCGCAAAGACGAATTTGATCTAATGTTTGATAGCAGAATGTAGATGTCATAGGTTGAGTATTTTAGACCTGATACTGAAAGAAGATTTTTATCGTAAACTAAATGACGGTTTACTGTACATTATTGTCTCTCACTGTAGGTTACAACTCGACTTTAACTCCTGAGGAAGAACAGCAAGGCAGCAAAAGTCGCAATTGATAAAGTCACATAGACTTTGCCTAGTCCCTAGGCCCCATTATTTCGCGCGGCCAATGCGTTTCGCGTCGCGTGGTCCGAGCGCAGTGAATTGACCGAGAGGGCCTCGAAAAACGCCTTAGAGGGACTAGGCAAATATTGACTATAAACGATAAAAAAGCTGAGCTATCATTTAGAGCATTGTATTTTGTAAGGAACAAACATAATTGGATTTTATAGATGACTTAAATTTACCTTTGTCGTTCTTTTTGTAAACGGACATTGATTCTGATGCAAAGTAGCCCATACTTTTTCCTCCTTTGTTTGTATAACACTGCCCTGAATTGCCGTACTTGTTGAAAGTGTCTGCCGCATTTTGGCCAGTCCAACATTGCTTATCGTCCAGACCGAACACAGTGATTCCTTTCGCATCGGCCGTTTTTCTGCATACATTTAATTTTTTAGAAACCGTGCCTTTGCCGTTTACACCTCTTAAGATATCAGCCAAGGCTCGCCCTGCGTTCTGATAGCATCCCACGGCTTTCCAAGTTTCTAATAGACAATAAAAAATGAATTATCTTGATATCCTATTGTTCGATTTAGCGCTTGTAGGGGTGGGGGGCTTATTTCAGTATTCATAGAGGGCACTTATTATTAAAGAAAAAGACATCTCATCATCACTGAAACCGAATTGGGGTGCTTATCAACAGAAACACATTCAAGGAGGGGGGATGGGTGTTTATATTGGAAGGAGGCCGGGCGCTGAATACAAAAACTGTGTCTATATCAGTAAAACACTCATTAAACGTTACTTTCATTTTTTTTCCTTATGAATTAGTAATGAGTTTCTGAAGCTTTTATAAGCGACCACCCACTATTGTATTGTTTCACCATGCAGTCACTTATGAGAGCTCATTCTCGTAAGCGAACAGCTCTAGTTAACACAACCACTTGGAGTGACTTTCGACATGGTGGCTTATGGGAACTTTGACTGTATTCAATATAATTTGTTTTAGTGTTTGGGTGTGCTGTGCAGAAATACCCACCGTCCCTTCAATCTCGACCCCAGAGCTCTTCTGCGCCTGACGGCCAGTGCATTCCCAAACCCGTAAGCACTGGGGTCGAGAATGCTGTCCCTTTTCACAGGAATGTTAAAGGACTAAAAATTTCAATAAATTAATGTAAAAAGTACTTCTTAACATTAAAAAAATACCTGACATGGCTTGGTCTATCAGTCACTTCATTTATGAAACCAGGAAGGACTGAACCAAACAGTACACTCTGCTGAAATCCTTGAACCATTGCACTGACTGTAAGTGACACTGGAACAACTGTGGCAATCTTATTAATGATTTCTAAAATCTGAAGGATCATCTTTTCTGAGTATTCCTCCTTGGAAAGATTAAGGATGTACTCCCAGGCTGCAGAGAACCTAAAGAGGAAACATAAAGAAGATTCTGTCAAACCTTGCAACAATACAGTCCAATACTGTACTAAAAACAACTGCCTACTTCATATTTATTGAAACCTCAACTGCACATTGTACGATGTATTCTAAGCAAGACAAAAAGGTGTAAGTAGATTGAATATGCATTTCAAGAACACAGGCAGGCCAAATGAACAATGTCAATGTACTGCACTTAACTGGCCAGTCACAGATTGTTTTAGCTGACAGAGATTTGTTAATTGTATAACCAAACCTCTAGTATATGTCCATACAGTTAGATTTTGATCATTCTTCTATATTCAAAATAATTAAATTATATCAATTAACTATTATTATTTTTATTTTTGGACAGTCAATCCTTATTTTTCACATGGTCACACACAGAAGAGTCCATTTGGTTCAGATGAGGATGGGATAAAAAGCATTATTATTCATTCAAAATATTTCCCCGATTCTGATTGGCTAAAAGCACACATTTAATTCACCATAACCAGTTACTGATGACCAAATTTGGAAGAATTTTGACTTTAACGAGGAAATGACATCAAAAATGCAGCATTTTCGCAGGTTAAGGCACCATTAACCGAGAAGACCTGGGGACGAGGTTGAGTTGTTTTGGTTGTGAACTTGAAAAAATGGCAGACATTTCACTCATTTCAAGAGTAAGAACTAGGCAAAAAAATAGCTAAAAACATGGCAAGAACAGTAAGAAGACAACTCGAAGGGCGACATCTGCTATTTGGAGAATATTTGTGGATCTGGACAAACCTAAATGTACACTATCGAAGATGAACTGAACATCGATGGATCGATGGAGGTAAGCATGTTTTAGCTATGTTTTTAAACTAGGAAATATTTTGAATGAATAATAAAACAGTTATTGAATTTGGCTTTCGTATCATATGAACAATTATGGAGATCTCGGAGGGTGTTATCCGCCTCGGACTATGGCCTCGACGGATTACATTCTCCTCGATCTCCATAATTCTTCATAAGATACTCAGCCTCATTCATGAACTGTTAAATAATTGCAATTCTTGTGTTAACTCATATAAATACCTTGTGATTTCAATCATAGTTGCAGATGAACCTCTGTCTTGTGCAGAGTTTGACAAATGCATCAGAAATGACTCAATTTGAGTGTCACTTAATGAATAACACCTTTGCAAGATATGGGAAAAAATAAAAGATAAATGGTTTACACACTTTTAAGTTAATAATGGTTATGAATCCTTTCAGACTCCTTTGATATATGTTTTTGTGGACCTGACGGTGCACAAATTCAATAGCATTCCCATCATTTTGACCATATTTACCAATAAAAACATCACAATAATTTAATCACTCACAATTTGTGAACGAGAAACAAAGAACAAGTCTGTGCTCTTACAGCACCCAGTGGCATCTGGCATCTAACTCTTGCTCCCGGGCGACCAGAAAATCTTAGCTTTTTTCATAGAAATAATTTTCTGGGCACCCTGGATTTCACAGGTACAGACCCTTGGCTTAATCCTTCAATTTTTCTTCGAGCACAGCCTTGAAGAATTGTGCACCGTCAATAAACTTCCAACATAAACTGCATCACCATTGTTTTTACCTTTGCCAATCCTGCTCCCGTGCCCAAAGTTTGGTCAATCCCACTTCCTGTTCTGGTAGCAAAACCAAATCCCATATCCCCTAAAAGGTTCGCAAATCCCACACTATATTTTGGAATACCCTTCCGGGGTCTAGCCTATATCTCCACTACCATAAGTACCCTTGGCTTGGCATTTACTACATGCAATGCTTTGTCTTATGTGACAATTCTGTCTATGATACTGCATACTTAAAAAATTTGTTGACCTACGTCACTATATCTGGTTCCAATGCAGTTCCCTCCTTTCTTCTACACTTTTTTACTTCTACAATGTCTCCCACAGCCAGTTTAAGATGAAATCCTTCATGATCAGTGTCATCTTCCTCACGAAGGTCAACAAAGACTTCAGACAGTGAGAAACTGCCAGTTAGTCCTCTGCAGGGATCTTTCGTTTTTATCAAAACACACACCTTTGCTTTTTTACTAAATTTGCATACCACGACACCTTTAACTTTAACATTTTCCTCAAACAAATCAATTTTCTGCAGTCTACCTGTTTGCCCAAGATCAAAATCGGAAAAACTTCCTTCACTCTCTGATAATTCTACAAACTTTTTGAGATCATCAAAGAACTGTTTGGAATGCGAATTTTCTGTTAGGCGAAAATCCTCAGATTTCTTTACATCAATAAATTCTTTGACCAATTTGTGGCGGAATTTATATGTTTTGTGATGTGGCTCCAGTTTGTAATCATTATCTGCAAATCCTGATGGAACCTTCACATCTGTCAAAAAGGCCTGGAAATTTTCCTCCAAAGTGCGAAACAGCAACAGATTCTTGCAAATACCCAACTCTTGTAGATATTTCACCAGCTTCTTGGCCTCTCCTGAAGCCATTTTGACGACTGATATATTTTCATCACCAGTAAGGGAATAATTAACACTTTCAACTATTCCTGTGGGAGGGATAGGTGATTTGCCATGAATGTCACCCCAAAGTTTCTGTTCTTTTTAAGTACTTCCCTGTCTTCAAAATCTCAAGCTCCTTCTATACTTCCAAATTCCTTTGCCTCCCATACAGCTGAAATACATTGTAGCGAAAGGCAAGCCCAGACACACCTCATACATTTTTTCCCCTTTGTAGCCTCCGGTTAGGAGCCAATAATATGCTAATGAGACCATCTTTCCGGGAAATACGTGTACAGAATACCTTAAAGGTCAAATTCCCGGAATCTTCCAACTCGAAGACATTCGATTGTTGTTTCCAACAAAGATAGACATCGTTTCCTGTGATAAAATGACCATAAGTAACCAAAAAAAGGCCTGAAATAGAGAGACATCTCGCAGAACGTGAGAATACGTCCGGCCATTCGCCTACCATTTTGAAACACGACAAATTCTTTCTTACAGGGGCAGGGAAGGGAAATTTTGCCTCGTTTCAAAATCGAGGCGTTGCGGAAGTCAAGGTACATTTTTTCATTGATTTTATGCGAATAACACAGCACATCACACATAAATAACACAAAAGATTGTCTTCGTGCTGCCGTGTTAAGGAAACCAGTTCTATCGAAGAACTTTCGGTACGTTCTTCACTCTCAGGGCGTCACATTTAAAGACTGCGTGACAAGGCATTGTCACGGTAGTGTTTTTCAAGGAAATCAAAACGGTTTTATTGACAAAATACTTAAAAAAAAACATAGTAAAAAAAAGTCGGCTTACAGCTAGCTCGCTGTTTGCATCTTATCAAAATTGCTTGGCCCTTTACGCTGTCAAACCCTGGACCGCATTGATCGTAGCCTCATAAATACTACAACTGTAGCTGTCTGAAAACAGGGTGGTAACGAAACTTGGATAAGACTACTAAACCCTCCGTGCTATTTGTAGCCTGCGAACCAGTCGTCTCTCATCGCTTCGTTGCAGCAGCATTTTCGGGCCCGTAGGGGAGATGTTGGAATCCTGACGTTTTTTTCAGTCCTATTGGAATCCATTAAATTTACAAAAAGGTATTGATCAGAAAGTCCAACTTTTCCTGAACGAAGAAGGTTTGTATTATCAATGCATAAATAATTAATTCCTTTTGACGGGTTTTCTTTTTCATTTGCAATTTGAGAACCACGAATTCACATCTTCAAACTGTAGGGTTGCCGTATTAAAGGTCGCCCGATGTAAGGTGATCGGGATTTTCCCGCCAGCGATTGGAATCCAAAATCCCAGTTCAACTTCCAAGGAAGCGAGAAGCCAGTATCTGGAATGCGGAATCTATAGCGTGGAATTCAGAATTCAAGCCCTGAATTCTGAATTCCACGCTAAAGTGATAATATGGCAAGCCAAATGTAGCAATATTCAATTCATTTTGCTTTATATGTAGTTTTGTATTATGTGTTCAACTGTATGCGTTTAATATTCAACTTGTATTCAACATTCAATACGTTATTCAATATTCAACTTCGCATTCAAGATTCAACTATTCATTTTATATTCAATTCCTTATTCACCCATTCAACTATCTATTCAACAATTTCAACCATTTATTCAACATTCAACTTTAATTATTAAAACATTCAACTATTTATTCAACATTCAACTATTCATTTAACATTCAACTATTCATTCAACTCTTTTGAGCCCTTACTACTTCTGGTCAGTGACGCAGATCATTGCTTGTTAAAAACATGGCGGCGGCTAGAATTCCGGCTTCGGAAATAGAAGCTTATGAAGATGACAAAAGGCTCCACTTCGATGGAGTGTCTGACTTTCCAAGATTTCTTTACTCGGTTCTCCAAAGAACTGTCCAGATTTCCCAGATGAAGGTGGATGAGGAAATTGTGGAGCAGCATATTGTCGTTGTCGATCAAACGGTGCGTTTTCCTCGTATACCCCGGTATACCCCGAGACAGCAGTTCGAATATTAATGCCTATGACAAAGAAACCTTAGATAATCTGTCATCAGCGTTCAGTGATGTCGATCAGCCCTGCAGCAATGTTTATCCAGAGCAGCCGTGTCTCCCACTACAATTGTATGGGTATGACCCAGAGGGCCTCTCTCCTTTAGAATAAGATAACAACGTTGTTGTCGAACCAATTTCTTAGCTTTAGATAAAAGGCATTCAATAGAGTGCTATGTGATGGATGTTGTTGACCCTCTAAACTCAGTCCACTCAACTGGCTATCGATCTTTATATTCAAGCCCTAAACTTGGTCAGGGATAGAATGGAATGATAGTTAGATCTCGCTGGAACAGAAAATTACTACCCAGACGTGATGAGGACAGGCTCCTATGTAAAAGTGATCAGGATGCTTGTGGGGGAAATTACAACTACAACCCTAAAAAAAACAATGTGGGCAGGGCTCGGGCTTTATTTTACCCCTAGGAAGATGCTAATTTTTTGACAAAGTAAAAGTTAGACAAGTCTGAAAAAAGGCAGGTGCATGTTCAATTGTTTAAATTATTACTAATAATATAATAGGACTTAAAGATAATGCTTGTTTAGAGTATCTGGGGTTTCCACTTTCACCAGCGAGCCCACCAAAGTACATTTCTCATGGGAGTCCGAGAAAATGAATGTCAAATTTCACAAAATTACATCTTAGACTTGAAATTTTCAGAATTTTACCCGTGTTTTCACAATTCTTGCGAATTCTTAGTAGTAATTTTCTGTTCCAGGGAGATCTAACTATCATTCCCTTCTATCCCTGACCAGGTTTAGGGCGTGAATATGAAGATCGATACAAAGATGAGTGGACTGTGTTAGAGGGTCAATAACATCTAACACATATCACTCTATTGAATGACTTTTATCTAAAGAAATTGGTTCGACAACAACGTTGTTATCTTCTTCTGAAGGAAAGGGGTCCTCTGGGTCATACCCATACAATAATATTATTGGGGTGAGAGACGGCTGCTCTGACTTAACATTGCTGCAGGGCTGATCGACATCACTGAACGCTGGTGAGAGGTTATCGAAGGTTTCTTTGTCACAGGCGTTAATATTCGAACTGCTGTCTCGGGGTATACCGGGGTATACCTAAGCATACGAAGCAAACGCACCGTTTGATCGACAACGACAATATGCTGCTCCACAATTTCCTCATCCACTTTCATCTAGGAAATCTGGTCAGTTCTTTGAAGAACCGAGTCAAGAAACCTTGGAAAGTCAGACTCTCCATCGAAGTGGAGCCTTGTGTCATCTTCATAAGCTTCTATTTCGTAGCTGGCATTCTAGCCGCCGCCTCCTCCATGTTTTTAACAAGCAATGATCTGTGTCACTGACCAGAAGTAGTGAGGGTTCAAAAAAGTTGAATGAATAGTTGAATAGTGAATGAATAGTTGAATGTTTTAAAAATTAAAGTTGAATGTTGAATAAATGGTTGAAATTGTTGAATAGATAATTGAATGACTGAATAAGGAATTGAATATAAAATGAATAGTTGAATGTTGAATGCGAAGTTGAATATTGAATAACGTGTTGAATGTTGAATATAAGTTAAATTTTAAACGCATAGTTGAACACATAATACAAAAATACATATAAAAAAAAGAATAAAATATTGCTACATTTGGCTTGCCATATGATAACCTAAGACAGTCGGACTGTCTTAGGTTACCATTAATTACTGAAGTGTCCATAGTACAAAATGACGATTGTAACTGAACCTCAACCGGACTGGATTTGACGTCACAAGACAAGATGATGGATTAAACTCAGCTCAGTTTTACAACAAAATGGAGAGGGAGTTGGGATCATCTAAATAGCAAAGGCTAATCTAGTGGCTGGACAATAACCAACTAATTATAACTAATTATAATTATACTTATAAGTGTGCAAATCCTTGCTTCCAAATTGAATAACACCTGTTGTTATATTCCTAGAATTTCACTCAACTAAACAGGGACTGCCATTGGTTGATTCTTGGTCACGTGGCCTTGACTAAAATCAAATGTATCCCGATCGTGATACATTAAACAATGTATCCCGCTCGGGATACATTGCAGCACGTGATCAAAGCATGGTGGAAAGTGGCGTGACCGAAGGCGGGAAAAACACCGCCAGGTTCTGCCAGTTTTCTTTTTCGTGAATGAACACAACAACACAATCACGAGGCCTCAAGCTAAAAAGCAACGATTTTTAAAGTTATCCCAGAAGTTCCCAGGAGAAAAACAGCAGCTAGTGGAGGAAAAAGATGCAGATGATATAAGGAAAGTACTTTTGTTTGTAAATCATTCGTTCAGTGGTTTTGAGAATTAAATTTGTGTTGTCATAAGTACCGAGTCGACTGTTTTGGTTCGTTTTCGTTCGCTCCGGTTATTCTTTTGTTGCTGTTGAAGTGAAAGTCTAGAAATATAACAAAACACTTAATGTCAGATCCCTCGGGAAACCAGTGAGTTTTGTTTTCCCTCGAGTCCTGATGTTTCCCTCGACTTCGTCTCGGGAAACATCAGGACTCTCGGGAAAACAAAACTAACTGTTTCCCTTGGGATCTGACATTAAGTGTATAATAATACTTAAAAAAGGCCACTGATAGAAGGCACAAACTAAATATCTTTAAAACTGATTGCATTCAATTAAACTTGAACAACACAACCCAGCTACAGTGATTATACTTCTTAGACTCCTCTTAATGTTTTCAGTCATGTCAAGAATTCGAGGACGGCAAAGAAGACCCAGAGGTCAATCGAGCTGGTACGATAGCTCAATGTCTGCTTTAGCAGACCAAGAGGAACGAATAGAGATCCCTCCGGAAAAAGTGGGACTTGTTATTGGACGGCAGGGAAGGAGACTGAAGGAAATCAGAGAAGAATGTGGCGTTCAAATATTCATCAAAGATACTCTTGCTCACTTGCGGGGGACAGCAGAGCAGGTTCAAAGAGCCAAAAACATGATTGAAGAAATCCTGAATACGGTGAGCACATACATTAATTGTACACGTGAAAGAGCATCGCAGTTTATACGCACCACACATGTTTAACCCTCGGATGTAAACGCAAATTCATACCCCCACCGTGGCCTGTACAAGGCGGGGGGTGTTAGAACCCCTCCCCAGAGTTTTTGATATGCTGCAATATTTCGAAACGATTTCCACTTCAGTGGAAAGCCTTTGATCTTATCTACAAGATGAATTATATTTTTGGGTGCTGGCGCTGCTGGAGACCTGTGACGTCACCATCCGCTGCTGATGTTTTATCGTTTAGGAAAAAAACTCCAAAAAAACCTCATAGGGAGGGGAGGGGGCAAACACCTGTCTTGCCGCAAATCAGCTAGTTGCAAGTTGTGTGAATACTGGCTACTGATTGGATAAAATTTCGCGGGAGTCACGCCATACGAGGGATCTACGTCACTTGCTACAATACAGGTTTGCCTTGGGTCGGTAAAACGCGCAACATATAAATTTTTTGTTGCAAAAGTAGAACTGCTATCCGACTTTCTGCAACAACTTTTTGCAACCTGCAACACTGGCCTGATTTGTTGCAAGACAGGTTGATTCGTGGGTGGTGGAACATGCAACATCGCTATTCAACTCGTTGCACGTTTTTGCTGCCCGTTTTACATGACAGTCAGAATTATAGATCCCTCATGAAGTACTAGGGCAGCTTAAAACTACACTGAAAATTAAAAAGATCTGTTTCAGCCCCAAAGTGTCAATTCAGCCCTGCAGGCCAAAGTCTGATTCAGCCCTTCCTGGAGCCATTTGAGCACAATCTAGGCCAAAAAGGCTAAATCAAAAGGTTATTCCAGCCCACGGTAGGGCCCATTTCAGCCCTGGGACCAAATCAGCCCTAGCTAATTGGACTGTATTTGCCCTGATTTAAGGGAGCCAAATTAGACTCATCAGATTAGGACTCACCGAAATGGCCCTATTTTTAGGGCTAAAACAAATCTTTCTGATTTACAGTGTACAAGACATGTAGACCGCGAACATACATGCCCTCTACAGAAATATCCAAGGGAAGGGATTGACGAGTTAGAGTGCAGAAAGGATAGAAAAATATATCTATCATCTTAGGTATCAAAAATGGCCTTAAAGTGAAATGTTTCGAAAAGACGTGACTTAAGGCTATCATTTTAATTTATTAAACGTTACACGAAAATGGAAAGAGGCGATTTATTTATATTAAATTATTATGTTAAATGGGTAACATGCATTTTTAGGTAACTGAGGTGTACGAGGGGAGTACCGTTTCTGTCAAAAGGAATGGACCTCGGGGCCAAATCTCCCCGTATAAAACTTTGTCGAGTAGAACTCCCACCCCGGAATCGACCTCGTTTTATTGCGTGTTCTCACTGGAATGAAGAGAAGGTCTATTAGGAAAGGATGATACTTCCAAGCCACCTTCAGGGTACCTACTGTTTGCGTGCTTTTCGCAGTTCATCTTCATGAATTATTAGAATTAAGAAAACACGGATTTTCTTTTATATTTCTGACAGAACAATCGAGAAGAAGGTACTAGCTTCAAAAAACTGGAGAACTTACTGATACCTCAACATGTGATTGGTAAAGTTCTTGGCAAAGGACGGGAAAGGTTGCGAACTATCGAAACTACAATCGGTGTTGAACTTAAAGTTATCAACGACACCTTCTACATCAAAGGAGCGACTAAAAAGGAAGAGAAACAAGCGGAACGCCAACTTAAAGAGGCGGCGGTATGTCTTAATTCTAAAGTAATTAAAAATACGGTAGAATTGAAAACAAAAACTTGCAACTAGTAGAGAAGCTTCGTATCGCGTTTTACCACGCACGAATCAAACCTGTCACTGAAGAGAGGATAAGTTTCTTTATCCTCTCTTGAGCCTGTCTTGCAACAAATCGGGTCGTTGCAGGTTGCGAAAAGTTATCCAAGCCGTTTCGTCACTCATCGTCGGTAAGGTATATAATAGTATAGATTTAAAATCATACAGGGGCACCCAACGACAATTTTCGGAAAAATATCTGTTCGGAAGACGATTTGAGATCTAGAATTTTCGGAACATTTGTTGTAAAATTTATTGCTTGCCTACCTCTCCTAAGATTTTCGAACATCTAAAAAATAGTATAATTGCCTATTTTTAACGGATTTTTACCCTAAAAAGGTCACCTAGAATTTTCGGGAGCCTTTTTTCTGGCTGAAATTTTCGAAAAGGCGAGTTTTGATCCCTATAATTTTCGGATCACTAGATTTTCAGCTAGGAAATCCGAACAGATGAAAAATTTTTAGGGGATAAAAATATGCCTTTATCTACCGTTTAAATACTAAAATACGTTTAACAATGCTATGTTGGTTTTGAACTATATTCTCGTTGGGTGCCCCTGATCATAGCTGACAAGCACTAGCAGAATTGTAACTTTGAGTACAAATCTATCTCAACAATTGACCTTCAATTTCTAGTTAATTGTATGTAATATCTTTAGTGTTTTTTGATCCATCAGAACCTCGCATTGAAACAGTTACAGAGGACCACGCGTTGCACGAAGTTTGTTTATGTAGACATGGCCCAGCTGACAGAGAATCATGAGTTTAAGCTGACCATTACACCACCGCGCAGAACACATGTCAGCTTAGGAGAAAATTCTTACAAACTTGAACTTCTGGAGCATCCTTTGAAAGAGGTACCTTTTTTATTGTCATTAAATTTGTTAAGTGTAATATTTGCACTGCAAGTTATGGGAGGGAACCGCGACTGCCCGGACATTCAAACGACACCGGGGGAGGAAGGAGGGGCGAGACTTTGAAGTCACCTCCACTGAACTCCGTTGAACTGGCCAAGACGCCGACAAAAACTTAAGCAATTCCAAGCAAGGACCGCGATGAATCATGCCACTAGCGCGCAGGCTCGACATGACAGAATTTAAGTAAGATTCTTATTTCCGTTACGGGCTTATTATCATGTATCAGAGAAAATAGTTTAGATAGCAACCGAAACAGGAGCCAAAAACATTGTAGAGTTTTATCCCTTCGCTATAATTCGTTACGTACTATATCAAACATGAGACGCAGTGTTTCATCACCAGATGAAACACCGAGAAAAGAGTTGAAAATACGACGCGTACCGGAGTATTTTTGACGAACTTCGAGGTGTTTCATCTGGTGATGAAACACTGTGTCGAATGTTTGATATTTCTTCTCAAACAAAATCATTTTTGAAGGAGAAATTAAGGATGCAAAAATGAGCAGTTTTTCATCCGATATCCAAACACTCATTAAACATTAATTTCCTTTGAATTTTCTTTACGAATTATTAATGAGTTTGAGAAAGTTTGACTAAACATTTTGCACAACAAACCGTTATTTCTAGTTATAAATAGTTACACACCGAAAATTTTAAATATAGACCATGAATTTTATATTTGAACAGGAAACATATCTTGGATTTGGAAACGTAGACAGAATAAAAGAAAAAGTTGTTGAAGTTTTAAGGCAAATTCATGGAGAGAAGAGGGAAGAAGAAGTCATGGTTGACATGTGGTGTCATTTTGGTCACGCCTACATTACCAAGATTGATGAGGGTGAGAGTCTAGAACGTTTCTACAAAAATACATTTAAAAAACCGCATCTAGGAACCTGAGGCTTTAAAAACCTGAAAATTGCCATTTTAATGACCAAAAATATGATAACCTGTTAAGCCAAGCAAGGTCAAGCAAGATCAAGCAGGCTCTTATATGTGGGTTACAGTTAAATCATGATAAAGATCATTTTTAACCAAGGCCAGAGTTTGCCTCGAGTTTGACAAGATTGCAAATTCACGTTAGAAGAAAACAGCATTAGATATGCACATTCTGTAATAACCTCTGTTAGGCTAATCACGATAAAAACAGTTGTAAATAAATAAATAAATACAAATAAATAAAAACTGAGTTGGAGGTAGCACACCCATAAAGTAGTTCTTCGTGTACCTGATTTATGGTCAAATTGGAATTTGGAATTGTTGGTTTTTGAGGAGAGGGGAAAACCGGAGTACTCGGAGAAAAAGGTCTGGAAGCAAAGGAGAGAACCAACAACAAACTCAACCCACATATGGCGTTGACGCCGAGATTTGAACCCGGGCCACAGTGGTGGGAGGCAAGCGCTCTCACCACTGCGCCATTCCTTGCTCCCATTTTTGAATGCAACTGCAAACCCAAGTTTGTTTATTCTTCTGATGATCAACAACTATATCTCCTTCGTAGAAAAGACGAACCTAATTAAGAGCCTACTTAGCTCAAGTTGTCAATTACTATCCCAAAGGTTCATAAGCCCCGTGCCAATAAACTGACGCAACATTGTTGGCCAATGGATGTTACATGTTACGTCCATTTGCACACCCTGTTGCATGTTGTTGCGTACGCGTGTTGTTGGGACCGGAGTATTTGCGCAAAGTTTGAAACCGGTCAAACTTTCTTTGAAATTCGTGATCGCTGAAGCGTAGGGCAACATTGTTGGATCCGTTTGTACAGCTTTCCCAACATTCTTGAGGCCTCGCACGCGTATTAGGTGTAGTTTACAAAGTCTCATGGGCTGCATCCTTCCCACGATACACTGAAGGTTCCAGCATTGTTAGGAATTGTTGCATCCGTTTGCGCACCACTGCCAACACGGACGTAACAACTCCCAACATTGTTGGCCCAACAGTGTTGGAGGTTGTCGCATCCGTTTGCACGTAGCTTTACAAACGGATTTTTACTGCGATGGTTGACGATGACTGAAACACTTTTTTGTTTCTTTTACAGACGAATTAGAGGAAACATTTACGCTGAAGGAAGTACAAGAAAAACTTGAGATTGAAACTAGCAGAACTTGGAAGTCCCTTTTCATCGAGGGCGTTGAGGACATGGAGGTTGAAGGAGTTGAAAAGCATCTCCCATCTAAAGCTTCAAAAGAGGACATTAGACATGATTTCACCTTTTATACCCCTTCCTGTAGGGATGTTCGTGTTAAGGTATTGCATGGTTTCTAATATCTAGCAGTCGATTGATGGAAGTAGGTTAGTGATACGGTGGCTCCATTTTATATATGTTAATACGTTTACCGCTAAGTCATGTGATCTGTCTACCCTCTCAAAATAAAGAACATTGTATTGTATTGTAGTGGTCTCCATTATAGAGCGTTTTCACTCACGTGGCCAGCATCCATGCTAATTTATTGGAACAGAAGAAAGCATTTACATGAGAAAAGAGTTAAACTCCCAGAGGATTTTCTGGGTTCACCAACATGGCCGCCGTTTCATTGGTTTGGAACATCAATATGGCCGCCGTGACGTAATGTGAAAACGCTCTATTTTTAAGTGGTCAAGGAATCGTTGCGAGACACTTTTACTTCATTTAAGGGAAGGGAACAATGAGAAGGAGAGAGGGAAAAGTAAGAAATTCCCGCGCACATCTTCCATGCGCTTCCCTCGTTGACTATAAACGAGGAAACAAAACCTGGAAACGCCTGGGGAAAGTTCAGCCCCGTTTATATAGTCATTGTCTCATAAGGTCTCTTTCGAGTCTCTTAGTTTCGACCAGAGACGTTTAAGAATCTTCCTCTTAGAGTACCGCATTTTTCATGCAGAAAAAATCTTATGCTCGTGAAACAACTGCTGATCTCACTGTCTTGCAGTATCTCATTTACATTTTAACTCTTATTTTCTGATTAGTCTACTAAATAATACGTTTTTTCTTTGCTGTTTGTGTGAAAAAGGCTTGGCTTATGGAAACAGAAGGCGAAGCAGCATCCGCCATGGCATTTTCACGCGGGACACCCATCACTGTAAAGAACATCCTAACGCGTGTGGTGTCTGATGAGCGAGGAGACACTTCTGACACGCCATGTTTTCACATCTGTTCTCGGTCTCAAAACCGATTGAACGTGGACATATTGATTCCTTCTAAGGACCTCGATTGTCGTTTGTCCATTAAAACATGTAAGAGAGTCATTCGCGACTTTAGAAACGAGAAAGAAACTGGATCGAGATAACTTTCGCAAAGACTTATGCGACTGTTAGAAGCTTTGGACTGTTTCTAGGGACAGCGAGAAAAAGTAGACAATTCACATAGACCTTTTCAGCAGTATTTTCTATTTTTATTTATCTGGATATTTAATTAGACACAATATCTATTTTCTTAACATCGTTTTGCTGCTTTTTTTTTCTGACAAGGCACTAATTATGCCCCAAAAACGCCTCAAGACGAAGAAGAAGACAAAATCTTAGAAGATTACCTAATGGGAATGAAGATCGAGGGTGGCCAATTAAGCCTGCGGCCAGCTTCAGAGCTCCAGGAAGGGTTTGACCTGTTTTACAAGCGTCGTAGTCTGCGAAAGACTTATCAGTATGAAATGGACGGGGAACAGTTTAGCTTGACTGTTTGTAAAGATCAAGCAACAAATGTTTGCCCTTATAAGCCTGACGCTAGCAACATCGACGAAATTCCCGCAAAGGTTAGCTACGTTTTTCATCTTTGGTGAATAAGCTTCGTAATGGACTAGTCAACTCTCTGAAAATCAGCGGCGTAGCCAGAATTTTTCTAGAGGTACGCAAAACGTTTCCACATCTTCCTGCCTCCCCCTCCCCTCAACAACAACGTTTTCATGCTCTATACATTCAGCTTGCCGCTAGCCTGTGTACAGACGTCCCCCCTCCCTCAGAAAAAAATACACAGGCACACATAGGCTAGCTTGCCGCTATCTGCGCGCTTTTTCCCGCCTTTTTCTCTAAACTGTATCGTCCCACCTATGAACCACGCGTCGCTTCTCTGGAAAGTGACCACGTCCGTTGTTTTAGAAAAAATATTATTTAAGAAACAACCAGAGTCAAATGAGTTGAGGAAAATTGCGCTTTTTAAATTTATTTCCTATTTGAGATAATTGGATTTGTCATTTTATTTTATCTCATGTTATTCTCTTACCCTCGAGACTTTTTCAGTTAAGCACGTGTGTACAATGCTTCCAGGAAGCTACGCCCCTGAAAATCAGGACTCCTTTAACAGAGCTTAGAGTGTCATCACTTGCACCAAAAGCCTTTTCAGACCAGGTTAATCGAATTTCAAGCCTACAAGTGAAGTCCCGCTCAGCCATGGTTCAATGAACCAGGGTTTGCTTGAGTCAAATCAGCCTTATTTATTGTAAATTGCCAAACCTGACTCAAGCCAGGCTGAAAGATTGGATAAACTATAAGCTTAAAAACAGGCTTGACATCGACTGTATGAATATTAGCCGTACATCCCTAGCTAGTTAGTGGATCTTGGATGAATTTCCTTGGGCCTTCCTTGACTCTCTGGACTCTCAGTTTAAAGAAAATGAAGGGGACGTGACAAAAGAAACACTGTCGGGACCATGGTTTTGGTGCTTTTCTCTCAAAAGATCTCTGTATATAAGGGTGAACCGACTGACCGTCATCATAAAGGTGACGTGCCAAAAACTGAGACGACCAACTACAACGACAATCCAGGGTAAAAAATAACAAAAGCGAAGAGGTATAACCTATGAGGACCACCAACAAAACTCATAGATGTCAGGATCTAAGTGTGCCGGAAAAATCGACCAAGACTGCCATATCAAATTCTGTTTGATGTTGAATTTATCAGTTTTTTTTTTTTAAATTAACGATCGATGATGGTGTTTTTGAAATGTTCAATTCAATTCGTCAATTTGTTAGGGAATTCGAGTGTACTACAGGAATCACAGTTGAGATAAAGGAGTGAACCCTCTGTAAATCATGCAGGGACTAAACTTAAGGTCCAAAAAGTTGATCATTATGAATGTTCAACTATAGCGAACCTATTTCAAATCTCATTCCTTTGTTCTGTCATACATTTTTTTCTTTTTAAAATTCTCATCTTGGCCGCTTTTCTGTTTTAATCCCACTAATTCACAGTATTATTTTCCTGTATCTATTAAGATTATACTCTTAATTTGCTATGTTCGTTTTCTACCAAGTGTTTTGAAAACTTCGACTTTTTGTGTAGGCTGACATACACCTTCACTGTGAAGAGTGGGATCGCCTCCTCAATGAGGGAAACTGGGAACCAGAACAGATTGCCGACAAGCTACCCGCTTTCCTGAAGTTTTTGAGACAAGTCCAGAGCAGTGTAGCTGTTAGTCACGGCTGATATATTGACATTTGAGAATTAAAGATGGTGAACTAGCCGAACAAGTTGATGAATTTAGCACATATTCAAGGATGGTATGGCCACTGATATCAGATGCTTTTACAGATAACACATATACGTATATTTAAGTGATATGCATTGTTGTCTACCAGGACACCTTAATGCACGCAGATTGCTCATTTTTGGAATCCGGGGAATAAATCTTGCGTGTTCCTTTCTTATTTTCACTCTCAAACAGTTCCCGTAAATCAATCGATCCAGTTTTGCCCCCACGAAGAGAGTTTTATAACCTTTTAAAAGATTGACTGAATGTGTTTCTTTTTTTTTTTTGATGTCGTAAGTTGTTAAAATAAGTTGGGCTACTTTGTATAACATAGAACGCCACGAATTTCCTAGATTCTTCTTTGTTCTTAGCCTTGCATTAGGTAGTGGAATGATGTCTCATGATAAGCATTTGACACGTAAAGGCTAAATGTCATTCTTGACCGAAAAGCCAGTCCAGTTATCATAGCTATATATCAGCTGTATTGGTCTTGTTTTTTTAGTGCGACAGTACGTTCCAGCATGAATAAGGAAGTATCCCTCACCCCATCCCCCGGTTCCGCCTAACACATACGTATCAAGAGAATTTGAGGAAGTGAGTAAAGAAATTAAACTGCTTGAAACATACGGCAAATCTTCTTTTATTTCTAACTCTGATTAGAAATACCCCCCTTATAAATCATAACTCTTTATATCTATATTAATCTTCTGTGATACAGACATAGCAGTTTCCTGGCCAAGGGCTTTACTACCATACCAAACCAATATTACATCCACGGCTTTGTTCTACTTTAAATAATGTTTTACCTAGCTTTGCCCCTTTATTGTGTTGATCCTAATTTTGTTGCGGCAATTTCCAAAATCACATCTTTCCTAATTTTAGCTGAAATCCCACAGCATCCTTTTTCATGGCGCTCACAGGACCTCGTTCTACAGAAAATGATAAGAAGTTTAATTTAGTAATGTGGTGGTAGCATATAATTCTTTAAACCCCCCCCCCACCCCCTCATAATATAATTCTTAAGGATTTCTGGACGAGTATAAAATTATGGCAAAATGCCTACCCACTAACCCCTCCCCTAGCTCCATATTTTACCGCATGTCAGAATTGGAAGTCATTTGTCAACGTTGGTTTTGGGAAGACTCTTGTGGGATCAAGATCCTTATTCCACCTGCTCATCGGAATATTACTTTGATACATAACTTATGCTATGCATGACTAGGAAACCTTCAAAGGTTTGTCAATATGGGAGCTTCTTGTGACACGGGTGAGAAATCCTTGCTACTTAAGCAACATTTTATAATGATAGGGCAATTTTCGCACGCTGATTGGCTGAGATCAGTGATCGATAAGTGTAAAAGCGATGGAAATGACGAGATGTTGGCGCAATTTATTTTTTCTTCCTCTCGGGCGCGCTTTTTTTAAAAAAACTTCAACGGAAATGGACCTTAATGAAAAGTGTGAATGTTATTGTGAAAAAAAAAAAAAATGACAAACATGGTCCGTTGTATATAAACGTATTGACAATATAGAAATGACGCCAAAATGTTCAAAATTTGCGCTGAAACCACTTGCTTGCAGCTCGTGATTGCACACTTGCCTAATCCCTGTACGGCTATTTCCTAGGCCTTCTCGGTCAATACATTTCGGTGACGTATCCGAGGAGAACGCGCGGGAAACGGCCTTACTTCTTCGCTTGGACCACGTAACCCGAAAAGCATTGACCGCGCGGAATATTAATGAGGCCTAGGGACTAGGAAAGTTTTGAACATTTTGACGTCAGTTCTATGCTCGATAAGAACAGAGTTCGTAGAGAGGATAAGATAGGCCATGGACAATTGTCGTTGAGTTGTCAAATTACCTGCACAATCCTTCCCTTAAATCGCTGCTACTTCCCGTTTAAGATTTACAGTCAGTTTAATTCCCCACCCTTTCTGGAAAGTTCAATATATTAAGAATGTCAGGTATGCGGATATATTCAATTCTACGACTAAATTCTTTAGTCGTCTCGAATCCAGGTGTTCCATACTTTTAGTTTACGCACGACCTTCTATTCATTACCTCGTAAAAATTACGCGACAGTGGAAATCCACCCTAAAAGATAGACGCAAAAGGACTTCACTGATGTCAGACCTTGTAGACTTACGAAATCTAGCTCGGATAATTATAAACCACCAAATTGCAGATGATTACGATTATTTTTACTTCTAGACATAATTTTGGAGTATTTTGCTTAATTACACTGGAGTAATATACTGCCTCGATAATTAACGTTCGTTAGCAATAAACGTCCACTTACCTCACTACTCTTGCTTATAGACAAACATATTCCCATAACTGCTTTTTCCCGTAGCATGGCCTGTTTTAGCCTTACTGAAAACGCACAATTTGGAAGTACCATACTTGTTGTAATTCGTCTCGGCGTTGTCTCCATACAAGCAATTCTTATCGTCTACTCCAAATATCTTGTAGCCGAGGGATTCAGCTTTCCCTTTGCAGAAGTCATAACTTGCGTCTGGATTGGACCCGCTTTTAATGTCGCCAAAAGAATCTGGTAATGCATTTGTAGGGGATTTATTGCTGTAGCAGCCAATCTTTTCCCACACACCTTGGAGAGAAAGGACAAAGACATTCAACTACTTGATAAATTATTTATCCGCCCGAAAACCTTAAATCAGCGGCAGGAACAAAACCCAGGTCACAAGTCACAGGTCACGAGTCAAGTTAGTGTAAAGATCAGCGTGCCACAGTAAATAAACAACACCAAGGTTGTCTTCTAGCCCTAATCACAACTCAAAATAGAATTTTACCTTAATGGGAAATTGCTTATCTCAGTTATTTATCAATAGAGCAATGACCCGCGCTTTGTGACCTGTGACCTTTGCTTTCTTAAAAGCGTCTTCTTATAAAGTCTTTTCAACCGTCAATGAGCTCGCAAAGTCGTTAAGACGAATTTGATCTAATGTTTGATAGCAGTATGTAGATGTCACAGGTTGAGTATTTTAAACCTGATACTTAAAGAAGATTTTCATCGTAAACTAAATGACGGTTTACTGTACATTATTGTCTTTCACTATAGATGACAACTCGACTTTAACTCCTGAGGAAGAACAGCAAGGCAACAAAAGTCGCAATTGATAAAGTCACATCGACTTTGCCTAGTCCCTAGGCCTCATTATTTCGCGCGGCCAATACATTTCGTCCTTAGGCCTCATTGTTTCGCGCGGCCAATGAATTTCGCGTCACGTGGTCCGAGCGCAGTGAATTGACCGAGAAGGCCTGGTAAAACGCCGTAGAGGGACTAAAATTGACTATATACGATAAAAAAGCTAAGCTAATAGTATCATTCAGAGCGTTGCATTTCATAAGGAAAAAATATAATTAGATTTTATAGATGACTTAAATTTACCTTTGTCGTTCTTTTTGTAAACGGACATTGATTCTGATGCAAAGTAGCCCATACTTTTTCCTCCTTTGTTTGTATAACACTGCCCTGAATTGCCGTACTTGTCGAAAGTTTCTGCCGCATTTTGGCCAGTCCAGCATTGCTTATCGTCCAGACCAAACACAGTGATTCCTTTCGCATCGGCCGTTTTTC